ATTTGTAGTTAAGCTAGTTAAACTTGATGTATATGGGTGCTGGGAACCTAACCTGGGCCCTCTGCAAAAGCAGCCAGTGCTTTTAAACACTGAGCCATCTCTCCAGCTCCACAAATAGATTTTTTAAAAATGTCAGAACAAGGTAGATACTTGATATCATATTAAAATGAAAGAATTGTCAAGTATATCTGTAGTCTCAATTACTTAGTAAGCAGAAACAGGAAGATTGTTTGAGGTCAGAACTTCAGGGCCAGCCCAGACAACATAAAAATAAGTAAATAAAAGAATCAGTACTATTAATTTGTGATGTGCCATTTTTTTTTTTTTAATTAAAGTCAGTCAGGCATGGTGCCACATGCCTTTAATCCTAGCACTCAGAGACAGAGGCAGGCGGCAGGCAGATGTCTGAGTTCGAGGCCAGCGAGTACCAGGCCAGCTGGGGCTACAGGAAGACCCTGTCTCAAAAAGACCAAAAAAACCTTCAAATTAAAGGAAATTACTTATAAAATCATTGGCTACAAAAATTCTGTGAAGTGGGCCGGGCATGGTGGCTCACATCTTTTAATTCCATCACTTAGGAGACAGAGGCAGATGGATCTCTGCAATCAAGGTATACTTAGCTAGTTCCAGGTCACAGGGAGACAAAACCAAAACAAACAGTTCTGAAGTAAGAAATGCTCTCATCTGTCTGCCTTTGCCTATCCCTTTCCAGATCATCTGTCATCTGATTCTATAGAGGTAATGTTATCCCTGTTACCTGTTGGATATTTTCTTCTGTAGGTTTTTTTGTGGGTTTTTGTTTTGTTTTTGTTTTGTTTTTTAAATGTGTGTGTGTGTGTTTGAGATTAGGTCTTGCTGTATAACTCGGGTTCTCAGACTGGCCATAAACTCAGAATCCTCCTGCCTTAGCCTCCCAAGTGCTGAAATTACAGGCGTTCACCCACCATGCCCTGTACTAGATTATTTAAAATGTTTAGATATAGTTGATCTTTCTGAGATAGGGTCTCCATGTGGCCCCTGCTGGGCTGGAACTTATTATGTAGGCCAGGCTGGCCTCGAACTTGCAGAGATCCAAGTGCTGGGATTGCCACAACGCCTGGCCTAAATGTTTATATCTGTATCTGTAGGTTATTTTTAAAGCAAATTCTACTCACTTCTGTAGAATTAAATATTTAATAAAATTTAGGAATTTCAGTACTTAGCTCCTGAGCAAGTTTGATTTTATAGCATGTGAAGAATTTTTTTTTTTTTTAAGATCTTTAAGCATGAGTGCATGCATGGCTAGTCCGTCCGTCCTTCCTTCCTTCCTTCCTTCCTTCCTTCTTTCTTTTTTTCTTGTCTTTTTGAGACAGGGTCTCTCAGTAACTCCAGCTGGCCTGGAACTCATGGAGATCCGCCTGCCACTGCTTCCCAAGTGCTGAGAGTAAGACATGAGCCGGGCGTGGTGGCACATTGTCTGTAGTCCCAGCACTTGGGAGGCAGAGGCAGGTGGGTCTCATATTTCTGTGAGTTCAAGGCCAGCCTGCACACATGAGCTGTTTGATAGCAGAGTGTATGTCAGAGAGGCCTGTGATTATTTCTTCAGGAGTTACTGGTGGGATGCGAGTCTTGGAAAGTGTTACCCTAGAGATAGAGACCTCAGCTGCTTCTGCTGCTGTTTCTCTTTCCCTCTTCCTTTTACTGAGGAGGGGAAGGAGGTCCCAGGAGGAAAAGAATAAAATAGTAAACATGTTTAAAATTTCACCTGAGCTCTGCTTTTCTACCCAAACTATCCTGAGGCAAACAGAACAAAAAGGGAATGCTGTTTTAACTTTAGGACTGGTAGATTTTGTTTTACTTTTTAGATACTGGAACATATCATATAGTGGAGGATGACCTTAGACTTCTGATCTTGCCTTACCTCCTCAGTGCTAGGATTTATATATATGCATCACCATGACACATTTATTTTGGTTGGAAATTTGTCCTTTGAGGTTTAAATAAAGCCATAGAAAACTTGTATAAATACAAGATGGAGTCAAAAGACATTGCAACTAAAGGATTGTTTATGAAAAAAGGACTTTCAGGCTTAGTTGACTATGAGCTCACCCCACAGCAATGTGTGTTGTGGCTTCCAGGAAGAGAAACCATATAGATACATTAGTAGTGCGAGTTCGGTGCATACACACACATACAATCAGTTGGTGTTATTGTCCAGAGGACTTGGAATCCTCATTAATATAATGCTTTGGTGGGGTTTATTTCATTTTTTGTTACTGGCTTTTTTTTTTTTTTTTTTTTTTTTTTTTTTTGAGGCAGGGTCTCCTTATAGCTCCAGCTAGCCTAGAACTTACCATATAGGTCAGACTGGCCTCCATCTCACAGAGATCCACATGCTTCTGCCTTGTACTGGGATTAAGGGCACATGTCCCACCATGTCTGGCCTAATATGATACTTTGGAGTACAGCTACATTTTTGTTTGGAGGTTTAATACATGACTAGATATTTTATAATGCTTTGGACTTTAGGTTACCTGCAGTTTTTTGTGATTTCAAAATGATGTACCAGGACTAGAGAGATGGCTCAGTGGTAAAGAGTACTGACTGCTCTTGTAGCAGACCTGGGTTCAAATCCTAACACCCACAAGGCAGCTAACAACTGTCTGTAACTCCAGTTCCATGGGGATCTGACACCCTCTTCTGTCCTCAGGCACTGCAGGACACAGGACAGGTGCATTTACAGAAATGCAGGCAATACACTCATAATTTTTTTTTTTAAGGGTGTACCAGTGTGTATTTTGTAGACTCTAAAGAAGCACTGCTTTATTTAGGAAAAATTCTGAAGATGAAAATACATTGTAAAGGCAGTATTGATAATTTTAAATAACTCAAGGCGTGGTGGCGCATGCCTTTTATCTCAGCACTTGGGAGGCAGAGGCAGTCGGATCTCTGTGAGTTCAAGGCCACCCTGGTCTACATAGTGAGTTCTAGGACAGCTGGGGCTATCAAAAAACAAAAATTTTAATAACTCAAGACAAATGGGTTACCATCTGTCTGTATTCCCAACACTTGGCAGACTGAAGCAGGAGTGCCAGGAATGTGTTAAATAGCCAGGGCAATATAAAAAACCTTGTTTTAAAAAACAAAGCCAGGCATGGTGGCACATACCTTTAATCCCAGTACTCCAGAGACAGAGGCAGGCACTTCTCTGTGAGATTGAGCCTACCCCAGTCTACATATAGAATTCCAGGGCAGTATTTGCTACAGGGAGACCCTGTCTCAAAAAAATCAAAAAATAAAACAAAACAAAAAGAAAAACAAGGGCTGAAGGGATGGCTCAGCAGTTAAGAGCTCTAGTTGTTCTTGCAGTGGACCAGTGATCAGTTCCCAACATCCGTATGGTAGCTAACAGTGGTTTGTAACTCCCAGTACCAAGGGATCAGACACCTTTTTCTGACCTCAGTGGGTATTGCATACATGTAATAACATGTGATACACTTACATGCACACAAAACACTCATCCATAAAATTTTAAAAATTAAATGTTCTACATCTTTTTTTTTTTTTTTTTGGTCTTTTTGAGATAGGGTCTCCCTGTAGCTCCAGCTGTCCTGGAACTCACTATGTGGACCAGGCTGGCCTTGAACTCACAGAGATCCTCCTGCCTCTGCCTGCCGAGTGCTGGGATTAAAGGCATGCGCCACCACACCCGGGTTCGTTTTTTTTTTTAATATTTCATTTATTATTTTTATTTTATGTGTTTGCCTGTATTGCCTACATATAGGTAAGTGCACCTGTGTCGTGCAATACCTGAGGACGACAGAGGAGGCTGTTGGATCCCCAGAACTGGAGTTACAGACTGTTGTTAGCTGTCAATGTGGGTGCAGAGATTCGAATCCAGGTCTTCTGCAAGAACAGTCGGTGTTCTTAACCGTTGAGCCATCTCTCCAGTCCTCTAAATGTTCTACTTCTAAAAAGCAAGACTGGGTGCAGTGGCATGTGCCTGTAATCCCAGATATAAGAGAATTGCTGCACGTTCAGACCCAGGCTGGTCTGTGTAGTGAATTTCAGGCAAACTAGCACCCTATTCTCCTAAAACAAACAGTTGGACTTGGTTACATACATCTTTAATCCCAGTCCTGGGAAGCAGAGGCAGGCCTCCTCCTCTGAGTTTAAAGTCAGCCTGGTCTACATAGTGAGTTCCAGGCCAGCCAGAGCTGCAGATAATTATTTGGAAAAGATGGCTTATGTCATTAGTAAAGTATCTTTATGTTATGTTATATGGATGAAATGGGCACTTTATTAAATTAGAAAATTAGTGACCATTATTTACAGATAGACAAATACTTATTTTTCCAAGATGTGGAAGTAAGTAAGTAGAGAGTTTATTAGAACTTTGAGTATTAAAATTTGAACGTATACCCAAAATCTATAGAGGGACTATCTCCTTGCATGCAGCCCTGTGTTGTGTGGTCTTCATAGTGTCACAGTGTGTTAATAGCTTAATTAAAAAGCACTAGGAATCAAACCTTGGGCTTTACACATACTGGGCAAGTGCTTTGCTACTGAGTTTCATCCCTAGCCTAGGACAGTGACTTCTGTTAACACTGTTTCTGTTATATTCTGTTGTTTATGGATGATGTACACTGGTAAAAGTCAATTGACTAAAATATATAATGAAAAAAGTCACTGTATCTTTCCATTAAAAAATTTTTCTGGCCCAGTGTGGTGGTGCATGCCTTTAATCCCAGCACTTGGAAGGCAGAAGCAGGTGGATCTCCCTGAGTTCAAAGTCAACATGGTCTTTTTTGAGACAGAGTCTCCCTGTAGCCCCAGCTGGCCTGGAACTCTATGTAGACCAGGCTGGCCTTGAACTCACAGAGATCTGCCTGCCTCTGCCTCCCGAGTACTGGGATTAAAGGCAGGTGCCACCATGCCCGGCTAAATTTTTTTTTTTAATGCCCAGAGAAGTTCAGATTTGCTGAAGGATTCATACATTTGTTTGAATGTATTTTCTTTAGGTATAATTGAAAAGTGACCTTCTCTTCAGAAATGTCAAAAACAAACAAATCCAAGTCTGGATCTCGTTCTTCTCGCTCAAGATCTGCATCCAGATCTCGGTCTCGTTCATTTTCGAAGTCTCGATCCCGAAGCCGATCTGTCTCTCGTTCAAGGAAGCGAAGGCTGAGGTAAGGGGGTATGGTTTATATATTGAGATAATCATTGTGTTGGTGTGGGTTTTGAAGGACTTTGGTCAAACTTTCTGTGCCTGTCATGTTAGAATGGACTTGAGGTATAGTAAGATACTCCAGGCCTCTTCAACTCAAAGCTAACCCTGGTTGCCAGGTTGCTTAGTTCCTCTTCTTCAGCACATATTTCCCACTCACTTTAGAAGAAAGCATTATTTGATTAATCAACAAAAAAGTAACCAAGAGGATTAATAGTATTAAACAACATTGCATTGAGGAGAAACCATAATCCACTAAAATCATTAAATTTGAGATTTACCAGAGGTCATTTGTATATATCTGTTGTGCTAGTCTTCGACAAGGTGCATTTAACAGACACATCTTAATAAAACTTAACTATGTAAAAGTGCTGTAAACACCATCAGTTTTATTTTGCTAAATATGAAAATGATTTTTTTAGTTTATCATGAATACTCTTTTTTTCTTTTAATGTGTTTGAGTGTATTGCCTGCATGTATGTGAGTGCACCCGTGTTGTGCAATGCCGCGGAGGGCAGAAGAGGGCTTCAGATTCCCCTGAAACTGGAGTTAAGGACGATTTGTAGCTGCCAGGTGGGTGCTGGGAATCGAACTCGGGTCCTCTGCAAAAGCAGTCAGCCCTCTTAAACGCTAAGCCATCTCTCCAGCCCCCATGAATACTCTTAAAATTTCAGTTTTCATACCTTCAGTAGAAGTCCAATACACTGTCCATTGTGCCACAGAGCCACATTTTTGTACCTTTGGTAAACATCTCCATTTCAGTTATGTTTTAAACAGATGTCAATCCCAGTATCATCATCATTTTTTTGTTTTTTTGAGACAGGGTCTCCCTGTAGCCCTAGCCTGCCTGGAACTTTATGTGGTTCAGGCTGGCCTTGATCTCACAGAGATCTACCTGCCTCTGCCTCCTGAGTGTTGAACTTACTTGATTTGTTAAGTCAGGTTTCTCATTAATTGACAGCAGGTTGTGCCATCTCTCCTAACTCTCCAACATTGAATTTGAGATTCTTATGTCTCAAGCTCCTAAATGCTGGGATTTAAGTTAAAATATTTCGGTTTTCTTTTGTGGATTGATAAAAACCTTTTAATGCATAGAATTTCATATGTGAGTTTGGGAAATACTGGTATAATACTCAAGCGGGGGATCTTTGCAGTTTCTTTTCTTTTTCTCCCCCCCCAACGCCTTTTGTGTGTGTGTGTGTGTGTGTGTGCGCGCGCGCTGGTAAGGAAATAATTTTGTTTATCCTCTTGGAAACTGCTGTTTACTTCAGATAAGTAGAGTCATTTTCTTGGGAGAATTTATCATGAAGTTAAAAGTTAGATGAATCTGTTACTAAAGTTTTATTCTGGACGGCTTCTGTAGTTCTGCATTACTTCTAAACATTATTAAATGTGTGTTTGGTAATGTTTGTTTTCCCTTTCCAACAAAAGTACATTAATTCTTGAATGGAATCTGGGAGAAGCCAGCCTCAAAATTAATCTCAGACCAAAAGGTATGCATAAGTGCTGAAGAGGAAAGCTGAGAGCTACTGAATGTTTATGTAAGGCCATGGGGTGGAACAGAGATTTCTCATGAACCCTGCCTTGCATCCAGCCTTGATTTAGGTGGCTTAAATCTTATTTTCAGCTTATTTGGTTCTGAAAGGTACCACTTTAAAATTTAATCCAGTGAATGGAAGCTAAATAATTGATTCAAAGCCAAGCATGATTGTACAGCCAAAGCTAAACAACAAAATTGAACCGATCAAATTGAAAAGTGTTAACCAACTCTGAAGCAACTGGAATTCTGGGCAGATCTTTTCTCCTGATTCTACAGATTTGGTGTGGCCATTAACTTGAGAAATGAAGAAACAGTATCTTAAACAGGCAATTTTCTGGGTAGGTCTTAGAGCCAATTTATGTACTGTCTTGTACTAGAAGAGTGTTACTTCAGGAGAATTTTTTTTCCTCAAAAACATGCTTTTATATTTGACTCTATTCTGATCTCTGTTTTTAAGAAACAGATGAGTTTGCCATTGTATGCTCAATTTTTCTTTCTAGTTTTATCTGTTCCATGTTTTTCCTCCCTTTTTGTTTTCCCCTCTCCTACAAGGAAAGTATCTATCCTGAGAGTTTGAGAAACCATGCCTTTACATTAACTAACTTCTGAGTTCTACAGAATTGGAGAAGGTTGACTCTCCCCCTCCCCCCCTTCATTTCACAGACTGTATCCTTTCCAGTGACTCCTTAAATAACTTCATTTGCAATCTGCAGGGCCTCATGTTCATACATCCGCAGTGACTGCAGGGTGCCACAGGGCCCTCCCTCACTAGTAATTGGTAACAGAAGCAGCAGTAGCCCTAAGGATGGGAACATGAATTACACCCTCCTTAGTGCTGGTGGTGGATCAAGCATAGCCCTTCAATGGGGTCATCTTCACTTTCATAGCCTGCATCTGCCTCTCCTTTCTTTTCTTATATTGTTACTGTTTCCAAATGAAAAGTATAGAAGGTAAGTTTTGTTTCTGTTTTTTAAGTTGTACTTAAATAGCAACCATTAACAATCAGCAATTTGATGCATCTTTGCTGGTTGCTCATCTTCATAATATGGATAAATCTAAGAACAGTAGGTAATTAATGCTGGAAAACCGGACTATTTTATATTCGTATTAAATGGATTATGTTTCTCCTTAAAAGTACTGTTTTATTTAGTTATCAAATTATTAAAGTAACAGCAACAAAACTTGGCACATTTGCTAAATGGAGATAGAGCAGTGGCTCCTCCTTATCATAGGGGTTGTGGTCCTAAGATCCTGTATGTCTTAGACTACAGATAGTCCTGATCTCTGTACATAGTGCTGTGTTTCTTCCTGTACGGAGCTTATTATAAAATTATAAAGGTTAATAATAAAAAAGCCACAGAAAGAGATTGACAGTAATAATAAAGTAGAGCATTTATAGCAGTATATCATAATAAAAGTTTACTAAAAACTAAAGAATTGGGCTGGCAAGATGGCTCAGAAGATAAAGGAGCTTGCCGCCAAATCTGATGACACAAATTTGATCCCTGGGACCCACTGCACACCTCGTGGAAGGAGAGAACTCTTGGAAAGTTGCCCTCTGACCTTCTTATGGGCACTGTGGCATGCATGTATCCACACATACAAAACACACAAAGCCAGGCGTGGTGGCACATGCCTTTAATCTCACAGTGATTCCAGGCCTGCTGGAGCTATAGGATGACCCTGTCTCAAAAAGACCAAAAACAAAACAAAAAAACAAAAACATCAACCAACAACAACAAAACCCACCACAAATACAAACAAAACAAAAAACTTTTAAAAAGTTTGTGTATGAATATACCTTTGCTGCATTAGAGTTCTATATTTTTTTTAAATTTATTTTTTAATTAAAAGAAGCATTTCATTACAACAGCATTAACCTATTCAATAACATTTTTCTGAGCTAGGGTACATCTCTTTCAAAATTGGCTGTACATTTCTAGGTTTACAGATGAAGTATTACACTTATATAATCTTTTACTCATTATAAACTCTATAAGACATAAAAGATCAGTTAGTGGGGCTAGCAGGATGACTCAGCAGTAAAGATACCTGCTACCATGCCTGATGACCTGAGTTCTATCCCCAGGACCCATGTGGTAGAAGAAGAGAATCAGCTCTCACAAGTTGTCCTCTAACTCCACACGTGGGCCATGACACGGGCACATACACATACACACACAGAGCCTCCATACTCTGCTATCCCTGCCACTGTCCACTGTGCTATCAGCACCCCCATCCATTCCCCCTATCTGCCCTTCTGGTAAATCTAGTCAGCCAGAGGTCGAGAGTTCTATATTTTAAAATAAACACACCACTTGTCTTCAGGATGTGTATGCTATGGGTGATAACTTCTGTATTTGGATGCCCTCTTGTGGCTCTTCAGTGAGATCACACATGCATAAAAATCTTTTTAGGAACAGTGAATAGGATCAAAGTGTGCTATATAGTTATAAATGTATGAAAATGCCATAATGGAATCTGTTACTGTATACAATTAAAATATGCTAATAAAGAATATAGCCAGGTATAGTAGTACACACCTATAATTCTAGCATTTGTGAGGTAAAGGCAGAGGGATCACTTTCTACTACATAGCAAGTTCAAGGCTAGTCTGGTTCATGAGACACTATCTTAAAAAAAAAAAAAAGACCCCATCTCAAAATAAATTTAAAAGGGGCCTAGGGTTATAGCTCACTGGTAGAGTACTTGCCTATAAGACCCTCGGTTTAACACCAGTATGGGAAGGGAGAGCACTTGAGTTAAAAAGCATGTCCTTTTCATTTCATACATTTTCCTAAAGCTTTTTTAGTTTTTAAGTTGCTAATGATCAAATCCAGTACCTTAACACATGCTGAATGCTCTCCCAAGGGGCTACAGTGAGCTATGTGTCTTTTAAATTGATAGTTCCTGCGGTTGGCTAAATAGCTCAGCAGGTAAAGGTGCCTGTCGCCAGACCTACTCACTCAAGAGTTCAATCCCTGGGACCCCCCCATGACAGAGAACTGACTCCTGAAATTGTCCTCTGATCTCAAGACATGCACCCTGGCATAAACACCCCCCAACCTCACCCTAATCCCAAATCATCCCTAATCTAGGGTCTTGCTTTTCAGAGTTTCTTACAGCCAATCAAAACCAGGAATAATAAGTGGCAAATTCCAGAAAAACAATTCCTTTAGGGAAAACCCCCCCACATTTAATTCTTTGTATGCTTTATTCGTGTGTATGTTGGTTTGTTTGTTTGTTTGTTTTGTTTTTTGGTCTTTTTGAGACAGGGTATCTCTGTAGTCTCAGCTGGCATGGAGTTCCCTATATAGACCAGGCTGGCCTTGAACTCACCAAGAGAGCCGCCTCTGTCTGCCTCCTGAGTGCTGGGATTGAAGGTATGTGCCACCACACCTGGTTGGTTGTTTTGAGATTAGGCCTCACTGTGTACCCTTGGCTGGCCTGGAATTCACAGGCATCTGCCTGCCTCAGCCTCTTTTAAGTGCTAGGGTTAATGTACCACAGTGCCTGGCTATATTTTGTGAAAATTGTTTTGCAGTGTTTACTAGTAATATTAGCAATTTATGTTACAATTGACAGATTAATGGCATTCAAGGACTTAAGTGAATTTTTGCATCAGCAAATATAGTTTTAGGGGACCTCTTTTTTTGGTCTTTTTTGAGACAGAGTCTCCCAGTAGCCCCAGCTGGCTTGGAACTCAGTATGTAAACTAGGTTGGCCTCGAACTCAGAGATCTGCCTGCCTCTACCTCCGAAGTGGTGGGATTAAAGGTGTGTGCCACTACCCCTAACTCAGTCCCCCCTCCTCCCTTTAAAATCTTACTGAATCTAATTAGTGTTGCCTTCATGCACATGGATGTGGTTTTGGGACTTTAAAAATTATTTCTTAAAAATTATTACATTATAGCCGGGCGTGGTGGTGCATGCCTCTAATCCCAATACTCGGGAGGCAGAGGCAGGCAGATCTCTGTGAGTTCAAGGCCAGCCTGGTCTCCATGGTGAATCCAGGACAGCTGCAGCTACAGAGAGACCCTGTTTCAAAAAGACCAAAAAAAAAAAAACACCTTTATTACATTAATTGTATATATGTACATGCATGCCACAACACATGTACAGAGATCAGAGGATATCTTTGGAGAGTCAGTTCTCTCCTTCTACCATATGATCTTGGGGATCAAACTCAGTGATAGAACTCAAGTTGTCAGACTAGGCAGTGAGCCATCTGACCAGCTGTGAGTTCTGGCTTGCTGGTCCTGGCTTTGTTTTTTGATAGAAATAAGGCTTCAGCCACAGAAATAAGGCTCTCAGCCACAGAAATTTGACCTCAATAGATTATTTCCAGTCTCCAATACAAAATTAGTGTTTTTATGCTTTGCAGATTATAAACTTTTTAACAGCTGCATATTCTCTCTTGTTTGGTGTTGACTGTTACAATTGTGTTTTTACAATCTCAGGTCTTAGTGGAATCTAAGAAATTCATCCTGTACTAAGAAGGGGAATAGGATGGAAACCTTAAGAGGCAGAGATCCTGAATAGTAATCTGTATATCAGAGCTCTTACTTTTTGTTCCTTTCAGTGGCCTGTACCTATGAAACTAAAGCCACTGTAGTAAAATAGTCTTTATTTAGTTTCCACCTTTGCTTTGAAAACAACTGAAAAAAATTGCTGTGTAAAAAAAGTTCAAATATTTTCCCCATTCCCTTCCTCTGCAGTTCTAGGTCTCGTTCCAGATCGTACTCTCCAGCTCATAACAGAGAAAGGAATCACCCCAGAGTGTATCAGAATCGAGATTTCCGAGGTCACAACAGAGGCTACAGGAGACCCTATTATTTCCGTGGGCGAAATCGAGGCTTTTATCCATGGGGCCAGTATAACCGAGGTGGCTATGGAAACTACCGTTCTAATTGGCAGAACTACCGACAAGCATACAGTCCTCGTCGGGGCCGTTCCCGATCCCGGTCCCCAAAGAGAAGGTCCCCTTCACCAAGGTCCAGGAGCCATTCTAGGAACTCTGATAAGTCATCTTCTGATAGGTCAAGACGTTCCTCATCCTCTCGTTCATCCTCCAACCACAGCCGAGTTGAATCTTCTAAGCGCAAGTCTGCAAAAGAGAAAAAGTCCTCATCCAAGGATAGCCGGCCGTCTCAGGCGACTGGTGACAACCAGGGAGATGAGGCTAAGGAGCAGGCTTTTTCTGGAGGTACCTCTCAAGACACCAAAGGGTCTGAGAGCTCAAAGCCATGGCCAGATGCCACCACCTATAGCACTGGTTCTGCATCACGGGCTTCGGTTTCTGACCTGAGTCCCCGGGAACGAAGCCCAGCTCTCAAAAGCCCCCTTCAGTCTGTGGTGGTGAGGCGGCGGTCACCCCGTCCTAGCCCAGTGCCAAAACCTAGTCCACCACTTTCTAACACATCCCAGATGGGTTCATCTCTGCCAAGTGGTGCTGGATATCAGTCTGGGACACACCAAGGTCAGTTCGATCATGGCTCTGGGTCTTTAAGTCCATCCAAAAAGAGCCCCGTGGGTAAGAGTCCACCAGCCACTGGCTCCACATATGGCTCATCTCAGAAGGAGGAGAACGCTGCTGCTTCAGGAGGAGCAGCCTATACAAAGAGGCAAGTATCTCATTGTTCCTTCCCCTTATCACACTAGCTGTAATGTTAGTTACATTACAACTTAGTCGTAATGTTACCTAAGGTAGAGCTCTGATCAGTGGTAGTAAGGTAATCCCAATTTCCTCAGTTTTTCATTAGCTAATGTCATTAAAGGTACCACCCAAGGAAACCTTTAGGTTTCCACCCAAGAAAACTCTTTAACTTTCTTGCCTTCTTGAATTCGTATTGCAGCATAAAGTTTCTTTAGACTACTTTGTAATAATGTTTTCATATTTTTAAAAGTTGCCTTGGATTCTACCAGTATAAGCCAGAAAACGGTAGAGATTTGTGTGTCAGCTACCAAAAAAGAAAAAGCATTCTTTGCCAAAACGAATGGCCATTGGAATTGTTAGACCTCTAGGATCTACCATATGCTATGTTTGATGTGCATTAGTCCATCACAGAAAACTCTGTTTGAGGAGACTGGGCAAAATGGGAAAGTCAAGGCTTAGTCCAGAAAGGTCTTTTTTTAAAGCCACAAGGTGGATGGATGTGTGTCCTAACAGAAGTGTGCCAGGCTTGGAGTTAGGAGAGGATGTGGCGAAGCCTTTGGTCTTGCTACCTCTGGGTGGCACAGTGAGTTTGATAAGAATTTTTGGATGTGTTTGGATGGATTGGGGTGGCAGGGAGGGTTATAATGGAATCTGCCTGGGACCATGTTTTGATCAAGAGACACTTAACCTGCAAGAGATTCCTCTTTATTCTTTCTTATTTAGCACATTCTCTGATTCCTGCAGTCCCTTGGTTTGTTGCCATGTTAATGTAACTAATTTGATTTAGCTTTGTTCATTAACTGTATACATAAAGATTCAGAGCCCATACTTTGCTGGCTTTTAGAAAGTCTGCTGTACAGTGTAAGTTTTGTTCCTTGCCAGGACTGAATTTAGAAGACTTGAGTCTGATTTCTGCTTTTCCGTAAGGAGAATAATGATTGTTGCCACCTCCATACTTTTCCCCTATTAACGAATATTTTGTTTTTATGTGTTCACAGTATATTTCATACGTAGATCTTCTAGGTGACTTGAAGCAAATTTGAAGTCTCTTTTTGAGACTTGTTTTCCCAAATATGAGTTGTATAAAATCAAAACAGTACAAGGTTGAACATTCTATGTTAACTTTGCTGAAAGCAGATTTTAAATGAATGAGTGAAAGTTGGGGTGAGACCTTAGTTTTTTTCCCCGTAGAGCAACATTACAGGTAAGTTTGTTTTTTGTTTTTTTGCCAATATCCTAAGTAATTTTGCTATTCTTGTTTTTGGTCATTTTGGTGAGACACAGTTCCAACAACTCTTTTTTTTTTTTTTTTAAATCTGTGAATCAAACACCAGAGCAGGAACAGGTGCTGTCCTAGAATAGGTTGCTCAGGAGGCCTTTTGTATGTCTCCCTTGTGTCTTTATAACTAGGTATCTGGAAGAGCAGAAGACAGAGAATGGGAAAGATAAGGAGCAGAAACAGACAAATACTGAGAAAGAGAAAGTGAAAGATAAAGGGAGCTTCTCTGATGCAGATGCAAAAATGAAATCTGACCCATTTGCTCCCAAGACTGACACTGAGAAGCCATTTCGAGGTAGCCAGTCACCCAAAAGGTATAAGCTTCGTGATGAGTTTGAGAAGAAGATGGCTGACTTCCACAAGGAGGAGATGGATGATCAAGATAAGGACAAAAGTAAGGGAAGAAAGGAATCTGAATTTGATGATGAGCCCAAATTTATATCTAAAGTCATAGCTGGTGCAAGCAAAAACCAAGAAGAAGAGAAGTCAGGCAAGTGGGAGAGCCTCGTGTATACAGGAAAGGAAAAGCAGAGGAAAGCAGAGGAGCTGGAGGAGGAGACTTTCACAGAGAGATCCAAAAAGGAGGAGCGAAAGAGGAGTGAAAGTGGGCACAGGGGCTTTGTGCCAGAAAAGAATTTCCGAGTAACTGCATACAAGGCAGTTCAAGAGAAAAGTTCATCACCTCCCCTGAGGAAGACCTCCGAGAGCCGTGACAAGCTGGGAGCCAAAGGAGACTTTTCCTCAGGGAAGTCTTCCTTTTCTATTACTAGGGAGGCCCAGGTCAATGTCAGGATGGACTCTTTTGATGAAGATCTTGCACGGTGAGAAGTGCTTCTTGTTGATTATCAGGGTTCTTAATGGGCTAAAAGGTCTTTCCTTAACCCCTTCTCCCCCTTCTTCCTGAGGACAGGCTGTCTGTCTGTCAGTGCTGATAGCCTTGTGCTCACCTGTCACTGGAGTAGAGAGAGTATTTATCACTGAGTGATTATGGCTCGTAGCATTACTGGGATAGTCTCTTTAGCCTGTAGTGGCTGGTTTTTTTTGGTTTCTGAGGACCCTGAGCTGCTTTTTTGCTGTCTCATCTCCAAGCCATCTCCCATCCACATCTTGTTTCTTTTTTAACTGAAGCCATTTAAGAATCATGTCTACATTTTACTTTGGTCACCAGAGTCTATTATTGCTCCCACCATTTAAAATACAGTGGTTTTCCAATTGAAGGAGGCAACAGTCTTCCTGCTGTTTGAGTGGCATTCTAGCCACATTCCACTCTTGCTGCATCTGCTTTTAAAAAAACAACAAAAAGCTGGGTGTGGTAGCACTCACCTTTAATCCCAGCACTCAGGAGGCAGAGGCAGGCAGATCTCTGTGAGTTTGAGGCCAGCCTGGTCTCCATAGCGAATCCAGGCCAGCTGGGGCTACAGGGAGACCCTGTCTCAAAAAGACCAAAAAAAAAATTTGAACAGGTAGCTCTGGCTGGTCTCGAATTCACAGAGATCCATCTCCTTTCCAAGAGCTGGGTTTAAAGGCTGTCACCATGCCTGGCATTTAAAAAAAAAAATTAATGTGTATTTTGTGTGCGCATGTATGAGGAGAAGGGGGAGCACAAGTGCCATAGCATGCATATGGAGGTCAGAAGACAAATTGAAGGAATTCTGTCCTTCTACCACATGGGTCCTGGGGATTAAACTGGTTGACAGATGCCTTTACCTGCTGAGCTATCATACTAGCCCACTCTTTGCTTTCAGCTATGTCACTGAGTAGCCTTGCCTAACCAAACTGATTGATCTTTTAAAATATCTGTGTGTCCGTCTGTCTTTTTGAGACAGGGTCTCCCTGTAGCCCCAACTGGCTTGGCACTTACTATGTAAAATATCTGTTTATTGTGTATGTTAAAACAAGCAACAGTGCAAAATACAATCACTGGGGTTTAGCACTTCACCCCACTTGAAGATTCTTAGTGGTTAAAAAAAGGATTTTTAGACACATTTTTCCTCTAGTTATAATGTGTTAAGATTGCTTAGACCTTTGCTAGAAAACAAAAGGAACATTGAGGTTAGATTTAAAACTCCCTGGAGGAACTGGAAAGATGACTCAGTGGTTAAGAGCCTGCTGTTCTTCCAAAGGACCCAGGTTCAGTTCCCAGCACCCACATGACAGCTTACAACTGTCTAACTCCAATTCTAGGGCATTCAGAGCCTTTTTCTGTTTCCTTGAGCATCAAGAACACACATAGTACACATACAGGCATGCCGGCATAACACACATACACATAAAAGTAAATTTTTAAAAGGGAAGGAGGGCCTGGTGAGATGGCTTAGTAGGTAAAGATATCTTCTGCCAAACCTGATGATTTAAGTTTAGTCTCCAGGACCCACATGGTCGAAGAAGAAAATTGACTCTCATAAGTTCTCTTGAGTTCTACTTGCCAGTGGAACATTTATGTATACACAAAAATTAAATAAGAAAGCCATAGGCTCGATCTTAGAGGTGATGCCTACCTAGTAGGCACAAGGCCCTGGATTTGGTCTCCTACATTATTCTTTCTTGTGCCATCCATCCACCTCTACCCTAATAAAGTGTTAGCGCATGCCTATAGTCCCAGCACTCAGGAGGCTGAGGGAAGGAGTATCACAAGTTCAAGGCCAGCCTGAGTTACATAGCAAAAACCCTATCTTGGAAACCAAAAACCTTGGAAGCAAAAATATGTTTTTATAAAGAGTTCTGTCTATATTGTTACACTAAATCTCTTTATATTTGTTTTTTAGACCCAGTGGCTTATTGGCTCAGGAACGAAAGCTTTGTCGGGATCTAGTCCATAGCAACAAAAAGGAACAGGAATTTCGTTCCATTTTCCAACACATACAGTCAGCTCAGTCTCAGCGTAGCCCCTCAGAATTGTTTGCCCAGCACATAGTGACGATTGTTCATCATGTTAAAGGTGAGTCTAGACCATTGCCACACATTTAACTTTCTCCAGCATAAGCAGGATGAGTGGTGAATGAGGGAGCCTCTGGGGTCCTTAATCTCATCGAAAGGGCATTTGAAACTAGAGGCTAGCTTGAAGGAATGTTTAGGAGGAAATACCTAAGTTTTAATTACAAAGATGAATATTTTGACATGCTAACAATCTGTGATCATGAGACTAAGTGAAATCTTCCCCATGAAGTGTACAAGTCACTTTACCGGTACATCTCTTTTCTTGTGTAGCAGTCACTTACAGAAGTGAATTTCTTCCCCAAATTATTTTCTCATCCCCTGGGCAAATAGAGGTGGGCAGGGTGGGAAATGCTAAGAGAAGTGATTTCGAAGCTGAGCTGGGCTATAGGTTTCACCTGGAGTTTAAAGTCAAGCAGTAGTTGGTCCTGTGCCCCAAAGGGAGGTGAGAACTAGGTTCTTTGTCCTTGTGTCATGTCCTTAAGACAAAGGAACGATACTAGAAACCCAAGCCCAACATGGGGTCGTGTTCCTGAACCAGTTACTTTCCCTTCCTCTCTTCCTTTTTCACTATGGTGAATGAGTTTATGTACTTGAGTAATAGCTCTGTAGCTACAGGTTCGTGCAAGAGTTAAACATTTGTCTACCCTTGGTAACATAACATGTGTTTCTTTGGATCTTAACAGAGCATCACTTTGGATCTTCTGGAATGACGTTGCATGAGCGCTTTACTAAATACTTAAAGAGAGGAACTGAACAAGAAGCAGCTAAAAATAAGAAAAGCCCAGAGATACACAGGTGAGGTCCTCAGCCTTACGCTTACGGGGTGCCACAGAAGACTTCTCATCTGATACTAGCTCTACCTTGTTGAGTTCTACTGCTAATCTACCTTTTTTCCCATCTTTTTAAGACAGTCTCCTTGCAGCCCCAGCCGATCTGGAACTGCTAATGTACCTTTAACTCAAAATTTAGGGTAACATCCTCTAGGCTCTGGGGTAGTGGGGAGCATTTGTGCTTGAGAATGGAAAGGACACTTTTTGTTTTGTTTTTTTTTGTCTTTTTGAGCCAGGGTCTCCCTGTAGCTCCAGCTGTCCTGGAACTCACTATGTAGACCAGGCTAGCCTTGAACTCACAGAGATCTGCCTGACTCTGCCTCCCAAGTCAGGGAGAGCCTGGGATTACAGGCGTGCACCACCATGCCTGGCAGTAAACTTAATTTTTAAAACTGAATTTAAATTGAAAATTGGAGTATGGTGATACCTGACTAATTCCACCAGTCAAGAGGTAGAAGCAGGAAAACTAGAAATTAGTCTGCATTGGCCACATAGTGAACTTAAGGCTAGCCTGAGATATACAACATCCTTTCTTCAAAAAACACACAGAAGCTGGGTGTGGTGGTACACACCTTTAATCCCAGCACTTGGAAGGGAAAGGCAGGTGGATCTCTGTGAGTTCCAGGCCAGCTGGGGTGTTACAGGTAGACCCTGTCTCAAACAAAAGCACATTGGGTTGAGGCTAAGATTTGGTTCATTGGTAGAGCATATGCTAGGCTCTCTTAAATCCTAATACCCAAAACCAGGAGGGGGATATAACTATCAACAGATAAGCTCTGAAAAATAATAGAAGCAAATGTCCATAAACCTAATTGCGCACTTTAGAATCTAGACTACTAACCAGTATTATATTAACCATATGTATATGGAATAGTATACAACTTTTGTGTTTTTAATTTTAGGAGGATAGACATTTCTCCCAGTACATTCAGAAAACATGGTTTGGCTCATGAGGAAATGAAAAGTCCCCGGGAACCTGGCTATAAGGTGAACTGTTGCTTTGATCAGTAATTTCAACAAAATGAGTGCGTTGGGCATGAACTTGACAGAAATGTGTTTGTTTAAATTATTCTCTACTTAAGTTTGTGTTTTTCTTTTAAGGATGGGCATAATTCTAAAAATGAACTACAAAGGGTTAATTTTTATTAAATGTATCAACAACCTTTGTGAAGTGGTTAGAATATGGTAAATGACCCCAGAGTCTATTGAGGTGAGCTTGAGAAAAAAAAGAGAGGCGTTTTGGAACAAGTGCCCATGATGAGAGAAGAAACTTTTTGTGATATTTTTCTGCTTGTAAGTATTATCAAATCAACTGTCTACATGCACTATTTCCAACCATGATTTCAGAAAGACATGCATGTCAAAGGAGAGTGAAATATTCATATCTTAACTTAGTAGACTGTTTTCAACAGCTGGTGCGGTTTTTTTTTTGTTTTGTTTTTTTTCCTAACATTGTACCATATCATCTGTCGATTAATGTGACTTTAAATAAGTGAAATGGCCCAACTACATTTGCAATGATGTGCACATAATGCTGTTACTGAGAGGTTAAAACTTATATGCAATCTTTTACTGTGAAATAACTAGATGGAGTTTTTTAAATCTTAGTATTTATTGACCTTCATTCATATATACAGTTGAAATTTAATATGAGACATAGCTGAAACCTTTTTAAAAACACTTAAAATTTTCCAACAAATTTGTCTTTTTGATTGAATGTGTTGAGAGACACTCTTGTGCAATCTCTCTTCTCTCCATTCCTCTCTTCCTCCACGAACCAGTCAGCTAGGCACTAAGTGAAACATCTGAAGAGCTCTCCTGCTCCCGGTCTCAAACAGCTTAGAGATGCTGACCAGCTACCTGAGAAGCACTGGCTGTGCTTGTCTTTGTCTTCTTTTCTTTTTCTTTTTTGTCTTTGGAGAATGTAGAGGTCCCAGTCCCTCTTTCAGAAACAAAGCTATAAAATAATAAACCCCCCTATCATTCCAGCTGTTAATTTAAATAAAATATTATTGAGTCAGCAAGTTTATAGTTCATGTAAGTAAAGTGTTAATCCAGAGTGACCTGCTTCCCATTAAAAGGACTTGTTTCAGGGCCCTTGAAACCATCCTGTATGTCTGCCCTCACCATATCCCCCCAGAATTGTTGAGAGCCATTGCAGAGATGAACTGGGCTAGTGTTCCTTTTTTGTCTTTCTTTATTCTTTGTACTTTGAGATAATTCCACACAGCAGTGGGTGTTTGCTTTAGAATAAGCAGGGAGAAGTGAACTTTTCTCTAAGCCTAATAAGCCACCTTCCAGAGCTGATTTTGGCCATCACAGCATGTAGACCAGCCAGTCATTACTAGGACAAAGAGAAAACAAAGTGAGATTCACATACAACATTTTCAAAAGACAGTGCTCGATTGTTCTTTCAAACTGGCTTGGGTGAGGTTCCTTACATTCCCCATGCTTCCATTGATAGAAACGTGAGGGTGATTGAGTTATTCCTGAATCCTAAAAACCTTAATTTTGACATCTCTTTTTGCAGGCTGAGGGAAAATACAAAGATGATCCTGTTGATCTTCGCCTTGATATAGAGCGTCGTAAAAAACATAAGGAGAGAGATCTTAAACGAGGTAAATCCAGAGAATCAGTGGATTCCCGAGACTCTAGTCACTCAAGAGAAAGATCAACTGAGAAAACAGAGAAAGCTCATAAAGGATCAAAGAAGCAGAAGTACGTGAAGCCCCTGCCTGTTACCCTAGATTCCTGAGTAGTCTTTCCTTCTCCCACTTCAGGCTGTGTTTTTTGTTGAGTATTTTTACTATAGAATCTGATTCCTGAAACCCTGGCTGACCTGGATTTACTGTGTACTGCATCCAGGCTCTTCAGACTTTCTTGCCCCTGAGTTCTAGGATTCCAGGCTTATACTACACTTGCCTTTTAGGCTTGTGAAACACCAGGCCTTCTAATCCAGAGAACTTTGGACTTAGGAAGTAAAGCAGTATCTGTAATTTCTTCCTTGATGTTGTAATCAAAGAAGATCCCTAACTTTAAATAGAACTTCAATATCTATGGAATGTTAATTTTGTCCAAAGAAGGCTTTGTAGGCGGAATTGACTACAAGGGAGAGTCGTTGGGGAGTTTGACTGTTGTTCTAGACATGTTCTTTCTCACTGAACGTTTTCTTAGTGTGGTTATAGTTTAAAAGTGGTTTGAAGTCATTGTCAAAAATACAGGTTAGGGGCAGGAGAGATGGCTTGGTTGTTAAGAGCACTGCCTACTCTTGCAAACCTGAGTTTGGTTGCTACCACTCACACACATCTAACAACCATCTATAGTTCCAGGGGATCCATTTGGCCTCTGCAGCTGACCTGGAACTCACTATGTAGATTAGGCTGGCCTTGATCTCAACAGTTACCTTCTGCCTCCTGAGTACTGGGAGTAAAGGGGTGCACCATCATGCCCTGCAAAAATAAATAAATAAATAATAAATAAATAAATAAATAAATAACTTTAAAAAAAGAATTGGGGTGGAACTAGATAGGGCAGGATTGTTGATGTCTTTTAAGTTGGTTTCACAGACAGTTCTAGAGAGGTGTTCCAAATATTTCCTTAACAAAGTGGGCATTGTTGAGTTTGTGGGACAGCATACATGTCAAATGCCCTGACGTTTCTGTTTGCTTTTTTTGGTGGTACTAGAGGTTGAACCCTGGGCCTTGCACATGATAGGCAAGTGCATTCCATCTGAACTACACCCCTAGTCCTATTACATTCTTGAAAGTTCTGTGATTTCAGTTATGGTTCATTAAAAGGAGCGGAGTTGCAACATTTGTTTTCCACTGTCCTGAATTTGAACAGGCAAACTTTAATTACTGTTATTTATTTATTTATTTATTTATTTATTTATTTATTTATTTATGCTGGCCTGGAACTCGCTATGTAGACCAGGCTGGCCTTGAACTCACGGTGATCCACCTCTGCCTCCCAAGTGCTGGGACTAAGGGCATATGCCACCATGGCTTGCTATTTTGAGACAGGGTCTCATGTAGTTGTGTCTGACTTTGAACTTACTATGTAGCTAAGGATGACCTTGATCCTCTTGCCTCTGCCTTCCAAGTGTTGGGTTTAGAGGTATGCACCACATGCCACTGGTGGAAAGGGGGGTAGAGTATACAAGCATTTCAGAGTTGAGTCTAGAGAAGTAATTCTTAACTATTCTTGGTGAGATACATGGTTATCTTCTGCTTGCAGTGTGACTTTGAAGAAGTTTCCTACAGCCATAATATTTTGTGACTTGGGACAAGAGGAAAAAGTTTGTTTACATCACTGCTCACATTACTAATGCCTTACACAGCTAATAATAAAGTAGTAGGACTCAAATTGGGGCCTTTGAAAAGTTTCTTATGAAAATGTCTTAATATCACTGAGTTTTAGAGAACGGTCAAATTTTTACATCCAAGATATGATTTGTATGACAGTGGATTTCTCCTTTTTTGTGAGTAGACGCCAAAACGAGTGGGGGCCAGAGGAGAGCAGGAGGGCAAGGTGCCTTTTGTAATGGAGAAATGAGGGACTGGAGGACCAGGAGGTCCTGGGAGCTTGGTAGGGCTGGCACCGACCTCAAGTATATAGACAGTGACTCATTGTATTAATCTAATTTGTCCTGGTCTGTAATTTCCCACAGATGAAGGGAAAGGAAGAGAAATGACTCCAGGAAGAATTGCTACAGATCTAAGCTTAACAGCACAACCTGTTTGAGCTCAGTGGGAGGTGGTTATATGGAATTTGTGGGATAATTAGAGATGGGTTTGAATCCAGGCTTTGCTCAGCTCTTTCACTTTATAAAATGTGAGTAGCGTGGAATACTCATAATCCCTTTATTGAATGCTTGCTATATCAATAAGGTATTTAGGTACATAGTTTATTCCATCCTTAGAGCCATCGCTGTGAGAACTGGAAGTGGCAGAGCGCTAACAGATGGTAATATAAAAGGGCTTCAGTGTGGTACCAGAGCCACTGTGACTCACATAGGATTACTTTCCTTCTCTGACTTAATGTATCTCTTAAACTGAGATACTAGAAGCCATTGCTGTGTTTTATTCCTTCTGTGTTACATATTTATCAGAGGCTTGGACATAAATGTGTCACTGAATATGATTGACAGAACTGGGAGGAAGCCCCAGGTCTGCTGGATGGGTAGGGGCCAGCAGGTTGCAAGTGATCTGGTTCTTTCAAGCTACTGTCTTTTCTTTGCTACAGATTCCTTCTTGTTGCCTGGTACTTGCCATCGGTGAGGCTACCAGGACCAGAGTCTTGATTTCCTGCCTCTTCTCTGTGTAGGAAGCACCGGAGAGCAAGAGATCGGTCCAGGTCCTCGTCTTCCTCTTCCCAGTCTTCTCACTCCTACAAAGCAGAAGAGTACCCTGAGGAAGCAGAGGAAAGAGAAGAGAGCACCACGGGTTTTGACAAATCCAGACTGGGGACCAAAGACTTCGTGGGTCCAAATGAAAGAGGAGGTGGCAGAGCTCGGGGAACCTTTGTAAGCCCTTTCCCCATTCCCTGAACACCTGGCTCCCACTAGCTCTGAGGAAATCTCATTAGAATACCATTTGTTGGCTCTGGTGTAAGCAAACCAGTTGTAGGCTCAGATTCCTTGGTTCTCTAGGCTTTCCATTTTCCACTGTTTTTCTGTTCATCACTTCCAGAGGCTTTTAGAGCTTGGTATCGCAGAACTTCCTCCATTTTACCTTAAATCTTTGGCTTCTTGGGAGGCCCGCAGGCCACAGTTACCCTCTGGGGGTGACTACTTAGGATGAGCAGAAAAGGAATGGCCAGAAACCAGTTAAACCACTTGTGTCTGGAGGACAGCTTTCTATTCCCTGCCAGGAAAGTGCTTGAACATTTTTAATGCAGGGAATTTTTCTGCTGCTGATATGGACCTTTGTTCCTTTTCCATTTATTGCCACAGCAATTTCGAGCCAGAGGGAGAGGTTGGGGCAGAGGAAACTACTCTGGCAACAATAACAACAACAGCAACAATGATTTTCAAAAGAGAAACCGGGAAGAGGAATGGGATCCAGAATACACACCCAAAAGCAAGAAGTATTACTTGGTACGTGTCTGGGGCTAAACAAGAAGGGCCAGGGAGCCTTTGGTACACACAGTAGCTGATTTCAAGATATTAATTGGCCTCCCAAACCTTGTATATAAATTTGTGTACAAGCATAGTACACTGGTGATGTGTTTGTGTTAGTGTAGTGTTTAACTAGGTGGCTGTTCTTTGGAAAGATAAGTTAACCCTGGCTCCAATGTAGTTTATCTTCTAAGATGTTTATGAAATCCAGAATAAGCAAAAAAATGTTTTTTTGTCTGTGAACATTGCACACTCACACACACACACACCCATCAGCTTCAAGGAAAAACAGCCCCAGACTTCTTTGAGGAAAAGTATTCATTGCTGTAATGAAATGCCACTGAGGCTACTCATCTAAGTTGTGGGTCATTCCCATGCTTTTCTGGTCCTCTTCCAGGTTAGGGTCTTTCTAGGCTGAGTTACCTGGTCAGTGAGCTCTCTTGGCCTTGCTATGTCACAGCAGGCCTATTCCAAGCCTTTGTGACTTGGCTGTGCCCAGATTGCTGGGAGCCAACATGAAGCTTATCTAGAGGGCCCAGATAAGTGTTGGAGTGGGACTGCTGTATAAAGCAAGGCTCTATGAAGCCCCTCCTCTGCTTCTATTTTCCTCCTGAAGGAGCACTGCCAGCCCAAATTGTTCAGTATAGTGCTCAAAACTTTGGACAGAAGCACCTGAGCACTCAGCTAAGCAGAGACCTCCTTCAGGAGTCTTAAGGCCCTGGCTTCTATGAATGCATGGTTAAACTCTGAAGTGATGAGATAGACAGTATAAGGTAGAGGATTTTCTTCCTCTGCCACCCTGCCTCCACAACTAAAGAGGGGAGCTTACCTGAAAATGGGCTAGGGAGGGTTAGAAACTACTGAGCCCCAGCTGTGTCTTCTGTGTGCTGTTCCTTTAGCTGCCTAATGGCCTGCTTCAGACAGTTCGTATTTTCGTATGATTGGCTTTCTCAGATTCATCCTTTGAGAGATTGTAGTCTGAGAGTTAAGATTCTAACCTTGTTTCATTTACATAGTAGAGGGACCGATATTAACAAAGTAGATAGGGTTACACAAGATAATACTGTGAAGGTTTTTTATCATCGCTGTAATGCTCAAGCTATTTTGCCTTAGAATTAAGGTACCCTCCTGATACTCTTGTTAGATCTGAGCAAGTGGCAGTTTTGAAAGGGGGGACATGGAGAAAGGCAGAAAAGGGGGCAAACTAGGTTAGGGCATGGGTTCTTTGGCACATTGGAGAAGAGCTAGCTCTGATGGCGTGTTTTGTTTTGTTTTGTTTTTTCTCTCTCTCTCAGCATGATGACCGGGAAGGTGAAGGCAGTGACAAGTGGGTGAGCCGAGGCCGGGGCCGAGGAGCCTTCCCCCGGGGTCGGGGCCGGTTCATGTTTAGGAAATCCAGTACAAGTCCCAAATGGGCCCATGACAAGTTCAGTGGGGAAGAAGGAGAGATTGAAGATGATGAGAGCGGAGCAGAGAATCGGGAGGAGAAGGACAGTTTACAGCCTTCAACTGAGTAGGGGGTGGGGGGGCCACTCTTTCCCAGGGGACAAAGGAGATGCTGGTGAGGAGCTAAACAGAGGAGCCTCAAGAAGATCTGAAAATCTCATCCCACCCCCACCAGCCACACAGAATCCTACGACAGCAGAGTGTATCCCTGGTGCTGTCCCAGTGGACAGAGGATGCTGGCCACACAGAGCCTGTGGTCAGGCCCAGGTTTTGAGCAAAATATACAAACAAATTGGGCTCCAGCTGATTCTCTTTTTTCGGTGTGTGGGGTGGGGGCAGGGTAGGGAGAGTGCTGCTGATGCTTGGATTTTGGTTTGTTTCCCTATAGAAACCAAGTTTTCTTAATTTCATTTTATCTGGAGCTAAGAGGACTAATTGATTTTCAGTCTCTTCCCCTGTCCTGATTTTAAAAGCCCTTATATTTTTTCTTTTTCTTTTTTGGGATATGTAGTAATACTAGCAGAAAGATTTAATTTGGGCAACTTTGATTAAGAGAAAACAAAGCATGTGAATAAACATTGACATGTTCACCTCAGTTTGGGACCAAACTGCTTGGATCTTTGTAAAAACCGGTTTTGTATGCCAAGGAGGAGTTTAAGGCCTTTCTGACCACCTCGTGTTCCCCTTTCTACACAGCCATGTATTCATGGAGTTGCCCCCAAACCACCCCATACACCCTGCTCCTGTCTTTCTGATTTCTTCCAGGCTGGGCTTCCCGTTCTCCACCAGCAGCTCCAGTATCCCAAACTTTCTAGTTCTGCTGGTCCTCAGCAACAGGGGTGGAAACTGGAGGCAGTTTCTGGTCTGTTTTCTAAGAAACTTCTGAATTCTATTATCTTTACAAATATAAGATGAGAAAATAATTTTTTCAATATTTTTTATTAATCTTTTTATAAAATGAAAAGAAACTCCTACAATCGATAAAGGAAGGTGGTTATGGCTGGGTGGTTTGTGGGGTTGTGTGTTTTTGGTGGGGTTTTTTTTTTTTTTCCCTCCCCGTTTTTTTTTTTTCTTTTTAACCTTAAGTTTTAAGTTGAAACATTTTCACATGTATATGGGGGGGACATCTTACAGTGGGTTCTTGAGCTTGCCTTCTGGAGAGGTGGTCCTGAGCAGGTGAATCACAGCATTTGTGCATCTGTCTGTGCCCACTGCACCCTCTTCCCCCCAGTCTTCGCTCTTGGGTTGTTGTGCGACTTTCCCCTTACTTTGCTAATTTCCTATAATAGTTAAGTTGGTTTTACTTGAATGATTCATGTTTAGGGGAAAAAGAAAAAATACCCTTTAATTTTTGTTTCAACTCCTCCTGCAAATAAAAACAATAAATGAAGTGGCAGATGTAAATTGGCTGTGTTTATTATCCTTTGAAAGTCCTGGGGGGAGGCACCTCCCATCTCCCACAGAAGTTTCCGCAAACCTGCATGTGTCCATGCCCCATACTCTTCCTTTCCTGGAAAGTGCCCTTTGTTTCACTGGATTCGATGCATTCTGTGATTTGAATGACACCCCCCACCCTCACTCCAGCCCACCTAGAACCAAACCCTACTAAGGGTGCCATGAGTTAGGACTTTGGCATCCTTGGTGAGGCAGGGGTCAAGGGCTGAGGTTAACTGCCTTGTATAGTCACCCAGCTGGAAGATGACCTGAACGAGCCCAATAGGAGCTAGTTGGTGGATCTGCCCTAACCTTCAGACTCTGGCCAGCTCTGGGCTTGTCTTTGTATTTCCTACCTTTCTCAAAGAAAAATATGGAATAATTTTCAGAAACTTAACCAGGTCCGCAAATCAGACTTTTCAAAATTTTATGTAAAGGGTGGAGGTTTAAAATTTGAAATATCAGGCATAGCTTTTTCAGGCAGGAGCCACACTTTCTCATCTAGGGCCTAGTTTAGGTGCGGTCTCCCTCCTGCGGGTGGGGGGGCACCCGGGTATGTACCTCTCCCCACCTTCCCCTACAGCTAAAAGCTTGCCTGCCAGAAAAGTGGGTGGGTCAGGAAAGGACTGGTAGAAATCTCCTGCCCAAATTAGGAGGCTAAAGAAGAATCCAGGTGGGTGCGAAGGAGCGCGTGTGGGAGCTCTAACCCCAGCCAGCCCAGTGCGGAGACCCTGGAGTTCTTGTCTTTGAACTGGGATCCAACCTGTCCAACCAGGCCGCCCACTCCCAGCACCTAGAGCCTGACCTATGAATCGCGTCTCCGCCTCCTGGTGTGTGTGGGGGCGGGGGCTGCCGTCTGGCCCGCCCTCCCCACACCCAGTACTCTGGCCTCCAGTCCGAGGAGCAGACTGGAGGGCGCCCCGGAAGCCATGGGTATGTGTACACGGTGGCTCCTCAGCACCCCACTCTCTGTCCTCTGCTTGGACCCCGGGCTTCGTGGAGATGCTCCCCCTGCCTTTCTCAGCCCACCCTTCGCCCGCAGAGGTCCTGGTTCTAGCCAGATACCGTGCCCAGACAGAGGATGAGCTGAGTCTGGCGCCTGGGGACGTGGTCCGGCAGGTGCACGCAGGGCCGGCTCGGGGCTGGCTGCGCGGAGAGCTGGGGGACCGCAGCGGCCTCTTCCCCAAGCACCTGGTGCAGGTGAGGTCCGGTGCAGCAGAGGCCGGGTGCGGGCAGGCCTGGGGTCTAACCGCCAGCTGAGCGCCGCTCCCCCTCCGCGCTCTTCCCAGGAGATCCCGGAGGCCCTGCGGGGTGTCTCAACACCAAGACCACGATGCGCGCGCAGTAAGTTGGGTGCTTGGCCTGCGGTGAAGGCACACTGCCCACGTGGAGAGTGACGGCTCTGGGAGGGGCCGCGAGGACATTTTGCGACCCGTGATTGGTTTCGAGTACAATGCTGTGCTCAGGGGCGGGGCCTGAAGCTACTGAAGGACGTGCTGGGGATCTATCTTCCCTAGCTCTGCGACCACAGGGGGCACCACTCCAGCTGCTCCCTCCTCATCCGACCTAGGTCATCCCGCCAAGTCTCGGGGTCCCCAAAGGTGGTGCAAAGTGAACTTCGACTACAGTCCAAAGCAGACCGACGAGCTGACACTTCAAACTGGGGAGATTATGGAAGTGATAAAGGAGGTGAGGGGGTGCAATGATAGGACTTTTTTGGGAGGTAATGGAGCGCTTCACACGGGGAAGAATTGAGTGAAGTGAGGGTGGGGGCAATGAGAAGGGAGAGGGGCGCTGAGATGGGGAAATGAGGCTGCAAGGGAGGAGGGAGGCCGAGTGGGAATTTTTTCAATGACCCTTGGGCAGAACCAGAAACTCCTGCGTCCTTCCCCCTCCCCAGATTGAGGACGGCTGGTGGCTGGGGCAGAAGAACGGGCATTTGGGAGCCTTCCCGTCCAACTTTGTGGAATTGCTGGACAGTGGGCCCCCAAGTGAGACCGTGACCCTGTGATCCCCTGGGACCAGACTGCAATCTTGAGTGATCTTCCCAGTGACCTTTCTGACCCTGTGACACCTTTGAATCCCTTCTATGACCCATCTAAATTAGTATCTCCTGGGGGCTGGAGAGATGGCCCAGTGGTTAAGAGCACTTGGTGCTCTTCCAGAGGACCCGAGTTCTGTTCCCAGTACCCATGTCAGCTCACAACTAACCTGTAACTCCAGCTCTAAGTGTTCGGACCCTTGTTCTGGCCTCCACTGGCACCAGTACATATGTGGTATACTATACACTCACACATAAAATATTTTTTAAAATAAATAGTACCTTCCTAACCTCATGATCACCCTCCAGGCCTTGGAAACACCGACATGCCTTCAACTAGCCCTGATTCTCAGAGGCTTTCTAAGGTAAATAGGGTCAGAGAGGGGATTGAGTTCTTCAGGTGGTGTGAGGCCCTACTTCTTCCTTACTCTGCCCCTACTAGCTGAGCAACCTGACCTATGACAGCCCTCCAGACTACCTGCAGACTGGTGAGCAACTAGCCAGAGTCTACCCCACTGTTCCAGGTTACTCTGTCTGTCTTGCGGGGAGGGGAACCAGCTAGGTTGATGGAGGAGGGAGCCACGGGCTGATGGGGGAGGCTACAGTGGACTGACCTTCTCCCAGTCTCCTGCCCAGAGACCTGCAGGGTCCTGTTTGACTACCAGCCTGAGGCGCCGGATGAGTTGGCACTGCATAAGGGGGACCTTGTGAAAGTTCTAAGGAAGGTGTGAGAGGAAAGGGCTTGGGGGGTGGTAAGGAGTGGGACCCTAGGAAGAATTGTTTCAGGGATACTCACCTTCCCTCTGACTTGCTTCTCAACTAGACCACAGAGGATAAGGGCTGGTGGGAAGGAGAGTGCCAAGGCAGAAGAGGAGTTTTTCCAGACAACTTCGTGCTGCCACCGCCCCCAGTAAGTATGCAGCCAGACAGAACAGAGGAAAGACTATTTCAGACAAACTGGGGGTCATGGCATTTACTAGACATAGAGAAAGGGATAAAGGCTCCCTAAAAATAGCTAAGGGTGGGCTGGGGAAATGACTCTAAAGTCAAAGCACTTGTTCAGATCCCAGAACCCCGATAAATGGCTGGTGGGCGTGGCAGTGCCTCTATTATTTCAGCCTTAGAAGGTGGAGGCAGAGCAAGCTGGCTATCCTGACTAGCCATATGGCAAGCTCTGAGTTTGACTGAGACCCTATCTCAAAGAATAAGGTGACAGCACTCAGAAGGCAGAGACAGGCGAATCTCTAGGAGTTAGAGTCCAACCTGGTCTATGTTATAAGTTCCAGGTCAGCCAAGGTTATGCAAAGAGACCCTGACTCAAAAACCAAACAGGCTGGAGAGATGGCTCAGCAGTTAAGAACATTTGCTATTCTTCCAGAGGACCTGGGTTTAATTCCCAGCACCCACATGGCAGCCAACAACCATCCATAACTCCAGTTCCAGGGGATCTGACAGCCTCTTCTGCCTTCCTCAGGCATTGCACGACATGGGCACACTTACCTACATGCAGGCAATACACACATACATACACATAAAATAAAAATAGTAAAATATTTTAAAAATAGACAAAAAAAAAAAAAAAAGGTAGAGCAATCAAGAAAGACTCCAGATCAACCTCAGGGCTTTGCATACATGAGCATCACTTACACATACACATACACAAAGAAGAAAGAAAAAAACAGGTTTATGGAACTCCTTGGACCTAACTGGAGGGTCACCCCTAAATGAGGGTGGATCCAGACATGTCAGGACTCCTCCTTAGACTTTGGCACTTCTTTTTTGTCTAGGTCAGGAAGCTAGTCCCACGGAAAATTCTATCTCGGGAATCAGGTGGGTGCCTGGGGAGCCTGGGATTGGGGGTGGGGTCTCTGGGAGATCCACCAGTCTTTAGTTGCCCATAAACACTTGTGCTTCCCCACTGGTCCAGCACACCATAGCAGCTCCCTCCCCTGGAGGTCCTTGTAGGAATGCGTATGAAGCATGTGTGGTTCAGGTTGTAAGTGTTCATATGCTCATGTTTCACTACAGGTCTTGAGAATGTGATTATCACATTCTTTTTATGTAGATCTTTGTTGTTTGTGACATTAAGGATCAAGCCCAGAGCATTGTACATGCTAGGCAAGCCACTCTACCACTGAGCTACATTCCCAGCCATGGATCTATTTGTCTGAGTCCATAAGTTATGTATATATTCATGTGTTTTAAGTGTGTTAGGAAGTAGTTTAATGTATGTGTCTATGTGTCTTTGAATGTAACATTTAAAATATCCTACAATTTTTTTTTTTTTTTTTTTTTGCCTTTTTGTCTCCCTGTAGCCCTAGCTGGCCTGGAACTCACTATGTAGACCAGGCTGGCCTTGAACTCACAGAGATCTGCCTGCCTTTGCCTCCCAAGTGCTGGGACTAAAGGCGTGCGCCATCATACCCAGCTAAAACATCCTACAATTTTATATGTAACATTATAAAAATAGTGTACCCATGGTCCATCCAAACTTCAGAACTGAAACATTGCCAATAGTCTGTACATTAAGTTCTGGGCTGGATAGATGGCTTATGAGTAAAGTGCCATAGAAGTGTGAGGATCTGAGTTTGAATCCCAGACTCCAGTTAAAGCCAAGCATGGAAGCACATATCTATAATCCCAGCATTCCTACAGCAAGACGGGAGACTTCCCAGAAGCTCTCAGAGCAGCTAGCTTGTTGTACAGGTGGCAAACAACAAATAACAAACTGAAACAAGGTGAAATTCAAGGACTGACGTCTTAGGTTGTCCTCTGACCTCCGCACAAACTCTGTGGTGTGGCCCATATACACAGGACTGCTCCTGAATGCACTTGCACACAGATAGATAATTTTCATGTTACTTCATTTCCATTCTGCCACTCCTTTCACTCCAAAGGTACCACTATCTTGAATTTCATGATCAGAATTCTCTTGAATTTTCAAGTTATATGTGTATCTTAACAATGTATCAGAAAATTAATTTTTGTCTTTGAGCTCTATAAATAAAAGTAATAGCTTAGGGATTAGAGAGATGGCTTAGCAGTTAAGAGCACTTAACAGCTCTTGCAGAGGACCCAGGTTTGGTTCCCAGCACCCACATGGGTGGTTCATAACTGTCTGTCATGCCAGGGATCTGACATGCTCTTCTGGCCTCTGTGGGTACCAGACATACACGTGGTGCACATACATACATGCAGACAAAAGCATTCGTACACATTAAAAAAAAAAAAAAACTTTTAATCTGAAGGGGGAAAAAAGCAGCTGTTGGGTGTTGGTGGTGCATGCCTTTAATCCCAGCACTCTGGAGGCAGAGGTAGGTAGATTTCTACACATAGCGAGTTTCAGGCCAGCTGGGGCTACAGTTGTTAATTGGGTCTCCCTGTAGCCCCAGCTGGCCTGGAACTCACGATGTAGACCAGGCTGTCATCAAACTCACAAAGATCTGCCTACCTTTGCCTCCTAAGTGCTAGGATTAAAAGCATGCACCCACACCCAGTTCCTTTTATTTCATTTTTATGTGTATTCTGTACCTGCTTAATTGTATGTGCATCCACATGTGTGGTAGGTGTCCAAGGAGTCCAGAAAAGGGTGTCCCATCTCCTAGAACTGGAGTTACAAATTGTTGTGAGCTGCCCAATGTGGGTCCTGGGAATTGAACCTGGGTCCTCTGGAAGAGCAGTCAGTGCTCCTAACCTTTAATTAATTAATTAATTAATTTATTTATTTATTTATTGGTCTTTTTGAGACAGGGTCTCCCTGCAGCTCCAGCTGGCCTGGAACTCACTATGTAGACCAGGCTGGCCTTGAACTCACAGAGATCTGCCTGCCTCTGCCTCCCAAGTGCTGGGACTACAGGCGTGTACCACCACACCTGCCTTAATTTCATTCTTTTAATTTTTGTGTATTTCATATATAAAATCATATGAATGTAAGGATTTTTTTTAATTCTGTGAGGTATATCATGGGGATTTTGATTGGGATTGCATTGAATCTATATATTGCTTTTGATAGGATGGTCATTTTCATAATATTAATGCTTTCAATCCATAAGCATGGGAGGTCCTTCCATCCTTTCCCCTTTGGCACCTTCAAATAGCCCCCCAATCCCTCGCTGGAGTTCATACATTCTGTCATTTGTGTTAAGGCCTATCATGTTAGTTAGTGTCTCCAGATGTCCCTTGGTGCAAGTTCATCCACTGGGAGTTAGTCAGCCTATCTAGAGTCCTTCCCTTTAAGAAGATCTGCTCAGGGTCGGAGAGATGGCTCAGCAGTTAAGAACACTGATCTTGCAGAAGACCTAGGTTCGAATCCCAGCACCCACATGGCAGCTAACAACTGTCCATAACTCCAGTTCCAGGGGATCCAATAGCCTCTTCTGTCCTCCATGGGCATTGCACGGCATGGGTGCATTTGCTTACATGCAGGCATAACATTCATGCACATAAAATAAAAATAATAGCTGGGCATGCACGCCTTTAGTCCCAGCACTCGGGAGGCAGAGGCAGGCGAACCTCTGTGACTTCAAGGACAGCCTGGCCTACATAGTTCCAGGACAGCTGGGGCTACAGGGAGACCCTGTCACAAAAAGACCAAAATAAATAAATAAATAAATTAATTAATTAATTAAAAATAAAAAGTAAAAAAAAAAGATCTGCTCTTCTTCACCCAGCAGTAATCAGCTGCCAATAATTTTTCAACTACGATTGGGGTCTGCTGTGCATTTCCACAGTTCTGTGCTGGGTTTTTGACTGCTTGAGTTTGCATGGGTCTTGTGCATGCTGACACCATTGCTGTAGGTTTGTGTGAGAAGGGTCCCAGGCACCTGTAGATCTGTTTCTGTATGGTCCTACACTTCCTCCCTGGCTCTTACAATCTTTCCACCTCCTCTTCTGCAATGGTCCCTGAGCCCTGGGTAGGTGGATTTTAATACAGGAGTCCTGTCCAAGGACCCACACTCTGCAGACTCTTATTTTCTGCGTTTTGGCCATTTGTGACCTTTTGTGTTCCTGGCCCTCTGTTGCATGAAGGAGCTTCATTGATGAGAGTTGAAAGATGCATTAGTGTTCTCTTCATCGCTTGTTTTATGTTCCATGAGCCTTAGAGGTTGCATCCTAGATGTGCCACTTAAACTTGGGCAGGTCACTGACAATCTGTGTGTGTGGCCAGGTATGGAACTCTGTAATTATCGCTGTCCCTTGAAAACGAAGCTTCCTTGATTGGTGATGACTGGGATACTTTTTTATTTTTTTATTTTTTATGTGTCTGTGTGTATTGCCTGCATGTAGGTAAGTGCACCTGTGTCGTGCAATGTCTGTGGAGGTCAGAAGAGGCTGTTGGATCCCCTGGAACTGGCCTTAACAGACAGCTGTTAGCTGCCACATGGGTGCTGGGATTTGAACCCAGGTCTTCTGCAAGAACAGTCAGTGTTCTTAACCCTTGGACACCTAACCCAGCCCAGGGATACTTGTTTATAAGGATTTGGTGCTAGGATCCACAAATGAGGGAGAACATACATCTTTTATTTTTCTGAGTTTGTGTTACTTCAATTAGTATAAGTTTCTAGATCCATCCACTTATCTGCAAATCTCATTATTTCATCTTTCTTTACTGCTGAGTAGAACTCCATTGTGTAAATGTACCACAATTTTGTTAACCACTCATCCATTGAGGGGCACTTAGGTTGCTTCCATCTCTTAGCTATTGTGAAAAGAGCAGCAACAAACATGGTTGTACAAGTATCTCTGCAATAGAATTAATCCTTTGGGTATATGCCAAGGAGTGGTATATACCGGGTCATATAGTAGGTTCATTTTTAGTTTTTTAAGGGTTCTCCACACTACTTTCCATAGGGGTTGCACAAATTTGCAATCCCACCAGCAGTGGATGAGCATTCCTCTTTCTCCACATCCTCACCAGCATTTGGTTATCATTTGTTCTCTTGATCTTAGCTAGTCTGGGGTAAGATGAAATCTAAAGGCAGTTTTAATTTGCGTTTCCCTAATTACTAACAATGTTGAACACTTTTTAAGATGTTTCTTAGCCATCTTTATTTCTTCTTTTGAGAACTCTCTGTTTAGATCCTTAGCCCATCTTTTCATTGGGTCATTTGTTTTCTTGATTCTTTGTTTTTTGAGTTCTTTTTTTTCCTTTCTTTCTTTTTTTTTTTTTTTTTTTTTTCGGTCTTTTTGAGACAGGGTCTCCCTGTAGCCTCAGCTGTCCTGGAACTCACTATGTAGACCAGGCTGGCCTTGAACTCACCGATATCCGCCTGCCTCTGCCTCCCGAGTGCTGGGATCAAAGGCATGCGCCACCATGCCCGGCATGAGTTCTTTATATATTCTGGATGTTAAAGCTCTGTGAGCTTTGTCACTGGTGAAGCTTTTTTCCCACTCTGTGGGTTTTCTGTTCACTTTCTTGTTTCTTTTGCTGTACAGAACTTTTTAGTTTAATGAAGTCCCACTTGTTGATTGTTGACCTTAATTCCTGGTGTCTGATTTAGAAAGTCCTTTCCTACACCTGTATCTTGTAGGGTACTGCCAATACTTTCTTCTAACAGTTTGAGAGGTTCCAGTTTCACATTGAGGTCTTTGATCCATTTGGAGTTCATTTTGTGCACAGTGAAAGATAAGGATCTAGTTTCATTCTTCTACAGGTGTAGATCCAGTTTTGCCAGCACCATTTGTTGAAGATGCTGTCTATCCTCCATTGTGTGTTCTTGGCACCTTTGTCAAATATCAGTGGCTGAAACTGTGTGTACTCAGGTTTAGGTCTTCAATGATGTTCCATTGATCTCGGTGTCTGTTTTGACTATAGCTCTGTAGTATACTTTGAGATCTGGTACAGTAATCCCACCAGTGTTGCTTTGGCTCTCCAGGGTCTTTTGTGCTTCAATATGAATGTAAAGATGGTTTTTCTAATTCTGTGAAGTATGTCATGGGTATTTTGAATGGGACTGCATTGAATCTATATCTTTTGATAGCATGGTCATTTTCACAATATTAACTCTTCCAATCCATGAGCATGGGAGGTCCTTCCGTTTTCTGGTGTCTTCCTCAATTTCTTTCTTTAAAGATTTAAAATTTTCATTGTAGAGATCTTTGATGTCTTTGGTCAGGTTTATTACAAGATATTTTAATTTTTTGCAGCTATTATGAAGGGGGAGTGTTTCCATGTGCTCTTTCTCTAATTGCTTGTTATTGGCATATGGAAAGGCACTTTTGTAGCCTGCCACTTTACTGAAAGTGTTGATCAGTTCTAGGATCAGTTTTCTGGTGGGTTTTTTTTGGCTCTCTTAGGTATAGTATCATATCGTCTGCAAAAAAAAAAAAAAAAGAATAATTTGACCTCTTCTTTTCCAATTAGTACTCCTTTAATTTCCTTCTTTTGTCTTACTGCTCTAGGAAGAGTTTCAAGCACCATATTGAAAAGGAGTGGAGATAGTGGACATCCTTGCCTGGTTCCTGATTTTAATGGGAATGCTTTCACTAAAGTTTTTTTTTTTTTTTCCATTTAGAATAATGTTGGCTGTGGGTTTGTTACATATAGCTTTAATTAGGTTGAGGTATGTTCCCTCCAGTTCATTTCCCTTTAGGACTTTTAGGATGAATCCATGTTGAATTTTGTCAAAAGCCTTTTCCGCAGCTATTGAGATGACAATGTGATTTTTGTCTTTGAGTCCGTTTATATGATTTATAAGGTTTATGGACTTGCATATACTGAACCATGCCTGTATCTCTGGAGTAAAGCAGATTTGATCATGGTGAATGATCTTTTTGATGTGCGTCTGTATACAGTTTGTGAGTATTTTGTTGAGAATTTTTTGCATTGATGTTCATTAAGGATATGGGTCTACAGTTTTCTCTTTTTGGTTGTGTCTTTACTGGTTGTGGTATTAGAGTGATGCTGACTTCATAAAAGGAATTTGGGAGTTCTCCCTCTGTTTCTAGCTTTTTGAATAATTTAAGTAGTATTAGTTGTAGTATCTCTTTGAATATCTCATAGAATTCTGCGTTGGATCCATCTGGACCTGGGCTTCTTTTAGTCCTGACTCACTATGTAGACTAGGCTGGCCTTGAACTCACAGAGATCCGCCTGCCTCTGCCTCCCGAGTACTGGGATTAAAGGCGTGCACCACCATGCCTGGCTGGGTCTGGGCTTTTTTTAGTTGGGTGGTTTTGAATTAGTTTCAGTTTCCTTGTATGTTATGGGTCTGCTTAAACTGTTGATCTCTTCTTGGTTTAGCTTTTGTGGGTCCCATGATTTTAGATATCCATCCATTTCTTTTAAAAGTATTCCCTTATAATGTTCTGGATCTTTTGTGTGTCTGTTGTGATGTTTCCCCTTTCATCTCTGATTTTGTTTAGCTTTTCAAAGAACAGCTCTTAGATTCATTGATTCTTTGTATTGTTTTCTTTGTTTCTATTTCATTAATTTCTGCTCTAATTTTTCTTATTTCTTCTATTCTGCTGGGTTTGGGTTTCATTTGTTCTTACATTTCCAGAGTCTTGAGTTGCAATGCTAAGTCTTATATTTGTGCTGTTTCTGATTTTTTGATGTAGACACTTAGAGCTATAAACTTCCCTCTTAGGACTGCTTTTTTTTTTTTTGAGACAGGGTCTCTCTGTAGCTCCAGTTGCCTGGAACTTACTCTGTAGACCAGGCGGCCCTCGAACTCACAGAGGCTCCCCCTGCCTCTGCCTCCGAGTGCTGGGATTAAAGGGCGCCACTACGTCCAGCAGGACTGCTTTTAAAGTGTCCCAGAGGTTTTGTTGTGTTGTATTGTCCTTTTTGGTTTAATCTCAGGAATACTTTTATTTCTTTCTTAGTTTCTCCTTTGACCCACTCATCATTTAGGAGTGTGTTGTTTAATCTCCATGAGTTCCTGTAGTAACTAGGGCTTCTTCGGGTGTTGATTTTAAACTTTATTGCATTGTGGTCTGATAGAATGCATGGAATTATTTCAATTTTTTGGTATTTGTTGAGGTTTGTTTTCTGTTCCAGTATGTGGTCAATTTTTGACAAAGTTCCATGGGGTGCTAAATAGAAAGTGTATTCTTTTGGTGCTTGGGTGGAATATTCAGTAGTTGTCTGTTAAGTCCATTTGATGTATGGTATCATTTAATTCAGATGTCTCTGTTTATTCTTGGTCCAGTTGACCTGTCTAATGGAGAAAGTGGGGTATTGAAGTCCCCTACTTTTACTGAGTTGGGGTTAATCTGTGTCTTAAATTCCTTCTAATGTCTAGACCCCTACTAGTGGATACTCACGGCACAATTTGGGAAGTTTGCTAAGCAGAGGCCCTACTTTGGCACTCTTTGGCTGTCTCCTAAGGTCATTGCCCCTACCCTATTGCAGGGCAGAGAGGTCTAGGCCTGGCAAAGTGGGAGGGGCCTCAGTAATCCCAATGCAGAGGGTTGCACAGCACAATTTGGGGATGTTCACCTCCAGGCACCCTCAGGCAGTCTCCCATTAATTTCTTTATTAGAACCATCCTAGTGGCCATGAAGGTATCTGGTTTTGATTTGCTTTTCTCTGATGGCTTAATGGTGCTGAGCATCTTTTCATGTGTTTACTGGCTCTTTGGATACTATCTATAGAAATATTTGTTTCAATCCTTTGTTCATTTTCTAGTTGGATTGTCTCTGAAAAAAAAAAAAAAAAAGCCGGGCGTGGTGGTGCATCCCTTTAATCCTAGCACTTGGGAGGCGGAGGCAGGTGGATCTCTTAGAGATGAAGGCCAGCCTGGTCTATATAGTGAGTTCCAGGCCAGCTGGGGCTACAGGGAGACCTTGTCTCAAAAAGATGAAGAAAACAGAACTCAAGGTTAGCATATGCTGAGTTCTATCTGCCAAACAGCTCAGCACATGTATGTTAAGTCACTTGTCTCACCACAGTCGTACAAGGTGCAAACTGTTTTCCATGCCTCATAGATGAGGTCACAACAGGGCACAGAGGAGCTACCTGCCTATGTTCTTCCATGACTAGCAAAGAGTAGAGCTTGAACTCAAAGCCTGGGGTCTAGACTGTAAAATCCCTGCCTCTACTTACTACAGTATGCTGTCCGTAGACACGTGTGTGTGTCTGTGTGATGTTGTCTGTACATGTCGGCATGTATGTACATGCCACAGTGGCCATGTGGCTGCCTTCAGGGGTCTACTCCAGTGTCACCTTAAAGTGGCCTCTCTGACCATTTTGCTTGGGGATTTTTATATTTTATTTATTTGAGACAGGGTCTCACATTCTAGCTCTGACTAACCTGAAGCTCCCATGTGGCCCAGACTGGCCTTGAATTCAGCGTTCCCCCTGCTGCCGTCTTTGATTATTTTGTTGTTGTTGTCTTAGGGTTTTTGTTTTTTTTTTGAGACAGGGTTTCCCTGTAGCCCCAACTGGCCTACATCTCAATATGTAGACCAGGCTGGCCTCCATCTCAGAGATCTACCTGCCTCTACCACCAGAGTGCTGGGATTAAAGGCGTGCACCACCGTCCCCTGCCAGTAGATGCTGGAAGAGGCTATTAGATACTTAGAACTAGAGTTAACAAAAGGTTATAAACACCACATGGGTGCTGGGAACTGAAACTGTGTCCTCTGTGGGAGCAGCCAGTTGCTTCTTTTTTTATTTTTAAATATTATATTTATTTTTATTTTTATGTGTATGACTGTATTGCCTGCATATATGTAAGTGCCATGCCATGTCTGTGGAGGTCAGAAGAGGAACTGGAGTTATGGATGGTTGTTAGCCTCTATGTGGGTACTGAGAATTGAACCTGGGTCCTCTGCAAAAACAACCAGTGTTCTTAACCTCTGAGCCATCTCTCTAGCCCTAAGCCAGTTGCTTCTTAACACTTAACTGCTGAGCTGTGTCTCCAGGCCCAGGAATTTTTTTTTTTTTTTTGAGATAGCATTTCTGTGTGGCTCAATCAGCCTTTGAACTACTGGCCTTGCCTTCTGACTCAGCCTTCTGAGTGGTGAAATGTCAGACAGGCATTGCCATGCCTGGCTTTTGGGGGCAGAGAGTGGATATTGAGAGGGCAACTGAATATGAATGGGGGCTTTATAGAGGAAACTGGACAGATGAAAATTTGAGTCATCAGTTTATTGATAATTAAAACCCTAAGACTGTGTGGGATCTTTTAAAGATGTGAGAGAGAGAAAGGAAAGAAGTTGAAGGTAAGATTGGAAAGTTGTTTCTGTGGTCCACAGAAGAGATGATGTCTGAACCACGGAAGTCACTATGGGCACTAAGCAGGAGGCAGGTCTTCCAAGAGTGGATGAAACTCTGGCAAAATAGTGCTGTCTCCTGTTCACAGCCTTCCCTGATGGCTGTTTGCTAGGTGTCCTTTTAGAGTGTTGCACAGTTCCCTAAGGCCAGGGTGCTCTGCTTCCCAGAGTCAGATGGGATTCATCTTCTGTGCACAGCCAGTGATTTGGGCAGAGGGATGAGTGAATAAACAAATCCTTTACTTTGTCTCCTCCCAGTTCTTAGTAAGGAACCAAAAAAGCTGGTACCCAAAACATCCTTACCCACTGTCAAGAAGCTGGCAACAGCTGCCTCTATGCCTAGCAAAGCCAAGTAAGGAACACAGGGTATTGGCGTGAGGAGGGGGGTACAGAGGAGATGCCCCTCCCTGCCTCTACCCCATGTGCTGCTGATGGAGATATGTTTCAGGACATCTTCCAGCCCAAGTTGGGATGGTCAGACACGCCGAGAGTCAGGTAAGGGCTTCCTTCCTCCCGCAATAGGGATAGGGTGGTTGTGCCGAGAGACAGAGATAAGCAGTGGTGGGGTTTATACTGAGCTCGGGTCCCTGAGGCTATGCTTTCATAGGGTGCAATGGCCTCAATGGAGGTCTCAGGCAACCTGAGAGAAAACAATCCAGAATCCAGGCTTCCCGGCGCTCTATGTCCCGTCAGGTGAGAAGCTAGAGTAATGTGGGAGAAGGGCTACCCAGAGGAGGCTGGTTCCCACAGGTGTGGTATACAAGGGTGAAGGATCCCAGGTAAGGGAAACCAGGACCTTTTAAAGTGTCCAGCCTCCAACTGAGACCTCATCCCCCACCATCACCACAGAAGGAAGAACAGAGCAGCCTGGCAAAGGCCCCCTCCAGGAATAAGACCTCCACCCCAGAGAAGACCCTGCTTCCAGATAAGGGCCCAGAGAAGATGCCCAGTCCTGACAGAGTCTCCACCCCAGGGAAAATGCCAAATCTGGAGGAGGAGGGCCCCACCCCAGAGAAGGCCTTGGATTCTGTTAGAATTCCCACTGCAGAGAATAGTACTATGAATGAGGCCCCTGCCCTAGAAGCCCCACCTATGGATGAAGCTAAGGCTCTCACCCTGATCTCTACTCCAGAGCAGATGCTTTCTGAAGAGGTTCCTCCCAGAGACAACACTCAGTGCCAGCACTCGTCTCAAGCGGAAACCCTGCAGGGGTCCGAGTCCTCTGTAGATACCAGGGCTCAAACCCCAAAGGATATCCACATGCCAGGGGAGTCCCCCCAACTGCCTAACACCTCAGAGAGGTGCTGCTGTAAGGTAAAACAAAGGGACAGCTCCCTACCCCAGTCCAAGGCAGTGTGTGGGTCCCTCGGGAAGGAGCCTACAACCCTCCTGAAAGGGGAACCTGCAAAAGATGAGACTATTCTTCAAGAGGAGGCACCCTCCAAAGAGGAGACACTTCTGAAAGAGGTGCCCCCCAAAGAACTGCCTTCCAAAGGGGTGGCTCGCAAAAAGCAGGTGCCCCCTAAAGAGGCAGCCCCCACTCCCCAAGTCGCACATAGTACCCAGCAGATGGCAGACCCTCAAGAGACTCCCACAGTTCAGCCTTCTGTCCCCACAAACTCTTCTCAAAACGAGAATGATGGCATGGATGTAACATCCCTAAGGGAGGAGGTGGAGACACTAAAGAGCGCGATAGAGCATCTGGGGCTGCAGCTGGAGTAAGTGGGCTGTGGCCATGGGTCAGGTCGGGGGTGGCAGGGATGAAGAGGAGGGTCCAGCCCCCTCACCTGCGCCGGGTGTCTGCAGAAAGAAGATAAGCGACATCTGGGAGGAGCTGAAGACCGAGAGGGAGAAGCGCCAGTTGCTGGAGGTGGGTGGAGTGCGTACTCAGGAGGGAGGGCGGTACCTGGCAGCCCGGTCACTGACGCCCTCTCCCGACTAGGTTCAGATGATGCAAAGGACCCAGAAGTCCAAACAAACATAGACGCAATGAGGACGGGCCAGGAGGGCTCTCTGGCGGACCTGGAGGGACATCCGGCTTGGGCCACCTCAGTCCTTGAATAGGACTTTGAAAAACTCCAAGAAAGTAAACTCTGGACGCTCCAAAAGGCCTGGCTAGGGGCGGTGCCGACCAGTGCACCGCCCTCTGCATTCCTAGCGGTCTCTCCAGGGCACATCTGGCCAACATGTGGCTCCCATTACCATTCTCAAGGCCTGTGCAAGGCTATTTTTATCCACCGGATGGGGGGGGCGGAGGTTGTCTCTCTCCGATGCCAACCCCACCAGCCCCATGCTAGAGGCGGTGGAGGCAGGAGGGGCCCAGGCCCGGAACCCAGCTGTGCGCTGGAGAAGGGTGGAGCCAGCCTTCTCCCTGCCCAGCTCCTCCCAGTTAAGCCGCTGTCCACCCAAAGGGACTCCAGGCCACTAGTTTGCAATGACCCTCGGCCCAGATGCAACTCCACCACCCTGCTCAAGCACACACGGTTACAGTGTTTAATAGAACCTTAGCGTCAAGGTCGGAGCCCCAGGCCTCATTGAGTGATGGCAATGACGTCCTAGCCCGGCGCACAGTAAGAACTAGGAGCTGTTTCCCCAGGCTTCGGTACGGAAAGTATTTGTAAGGGACACACAAGATACCTGCCTTGTGTGGGGGGTGGGGGGCGGGGTGGTGGTATCTCAGTCTGTTCCTAATCTGTGACGTGAGAATGAGCATGTAGTGGGTGGGCACCCGGAGGTGGCGCAACCCGGAAAAGAAGTCATGAGGGTCTCAGTTGTGGGCCCCCTGCATGGCTGCTGGAGCCTGAGGGCCTGCTGAAAGCAATGGTAACTGAGGGAGAGAACTGAGTTACTCAAACTAGCTTTCATTGGTTATTCATCATTACCAGGGGAAGAAGGAGGGGGTCTGATATCCTCTTCCCACCCACGCTTGCCCTGGGAAGAGGGCTTCTCAGAAGATCCATGCCCAATAGCACCAGGGGAGCGCCAAGGCAGAGGCAAGTCCTGAGGCAGCTCTGGGTCCAGTTCCATGTTCAGCACTCAGCCCCTTGCAGAGGAGCTGGGCGTTAGTAATAGTGCATGCGGCCCAACGTGCCCGTGGCTGTGGGGCCGGGTCCCAGTGTGCCAGTGCCCAGCAGGTCTGGCTGCCCGGTGCGCCAGATCTCACGCAGAATGCGTTCACGCTCCTCCAGCCGCTGTGCCCTCTCCAGCTCCTCTGCCGATGTGAAGACGTTGACGCTGAGGGGCCCGTCGGGCTCTGTGGACAGCTCCTGGCCTGGCAACGTGTCGTCAGGGCCCAGCCTCGTCACTGTGTCCTCTTCTTCGTCCTCGTCCTCGTCCTCAGGCTCTAGGGTGCTGCTGCGAGGGTCCCGGCGTGGAGCAGGACCTCGGGGCCGCGAGCGGGGCGCACAGGAGATGCTGATGACCAGCAGGCACAGGGTCAGCAGCAGGCCGAAGCAGACACCCAGCACGAAGTACAGGCCGAAGCTCTCGGGGTTGGCTGGGGGGAGAGGGTCAGAAGTCATGGGGGGACCCTGGCAGGTCGGGAACTACTCCATCTAGGAGAGACCTCTGACTCTAGGTTTGGGGCAAAGAGCTGAAGGAACCCTCGGGAAGGGCAGCCGGGGAGAGGCATCGGCAGGGAGACAGGGCGGGGCACTGGGAGGGGTGACTGTCTAGGAAAGTGTTCTCAGGCTGGGGAGGGGTCTGTGCTCCCCTGGCCTGGCCCTCACCGCGGATGTGTGCGTAGGCCGCTAGGCTGTTACTGAGAAGCTCCATGTCCCTTCGCGGGGCATCCATGCTGCTGGGGCGCAGCTTTCCCCCCTGCGAGGTCAGCCAGGTCAGGTCCCGCCGGCCCTGGCGCGCTCGCTCCTCCCGCAGCTCCAGCTCCTGGAGGAGCGGCCTCGGCTTCCACCCTGGAGAGAGCGGTTCTCACTTGGCTGCAAATCTGGACCCTGTTAAGGGTAGTCCTTGCTCCCGTCGCCGACACCCCTGAATCCCCGCGAGCAGCCGAACGGGCCGCAGAGGCTCCGCCCCCTTGTGGGGTCCGGAGGTGAAGTCCAGGCTCGGAAGAGGGGCGAGGCGCCGTGTCTCCCCGCTTCCCCGCCTCCCTCCTGCATCCCACCCGCCCGCAGGCCCCCAGAGGCCCGGCTGACTCACCGTCAGCGCCCAGCTGCCCGGCCCCGGCGGGTCGGTCTCGGCGGCCGCATACACCCGGGACCCGACCGCTCCCGCCCCGTCCGATCCCGGCCAGCCTGTCCGCCCAGCTCGGTTTGCGGCGGAGGCGCGGCGGGACACGGGCCGATGGACCAGCGGGCGGAAAGTTTCCTCGGAGGAAAGAGGAGGGACGGGGCGGGGCGGGGAGGCGGGAGGAAGAGCGCCTGGAGGAAGGGGAGAGGGGGGCGGCCCCGGCTCCCCCACAGGAAGCCGCTGGGGAGGCCGCTCGCTGGGGCCGCCCCTGCCACTACTAACAACAACAACACCATTGGTTATTAACCATCCCTACCTCCTAACAGTGGGCTGCCTCCCGGACGTGTCTTTTCGTGTCATCTTAATAACCTTAGGACCGGGCTATTATTGAATGTCCATTTCGCAGATGAAGTAAACTGAGTCATGAAGATCTTGGGGGAATGTTAGGAGTTGAACCTGCAGCTTTCTGACTCTAGAGCGCAGTCTCCAAATCTCACTTCCGTGTGTCTGGCGCCTCCAGTCAGGGAGCTCTAAATTGCTACATCCAGAGAAGGCTGCCCCTTCACCCTCCAGCACTTCCTAGACTTAGAGGTGGCCAGCACCCCTACACATCCTCCTCTGTCCTCAGTCCTCCGAGAGAGAGAATGTCAGGGCCCAGGCTGAGTGTGTCCAACTGGCCAGCTCTGCTGTGGTCACCCAAGGTTAATGATTGTTGGACTCCTAAGCCAGGCCTTGGTAAGGCTGCAGACCCCGACAGGGGCCTCTGTCTCCGTGACTGCAAGGAATGTCCTGGCTGCTTTGCTTGCTGGACCTGCCCAGACTCACACGTGCACTTCCACCTGGGCTCAGGGCTTGTGCAGCAGTGTGATGAGGGATCTGCAGCTGGCCTCCCTGCCCCAGGCTTCCCCTCCCTTGTTCTGGAGCTGGGGTGAGGGGGAGGCCTTCTTGGCGGGAACCTTGGGGAGGAGGAGGGAAGGAAGAGGGAGAGGAAATTGCAGACATAGCTGTAGGCTCGGCCTGAGGGCCAGTGACCACCCCCCTTCCCTGCCCAGGCTGCAGAACCCCACTCCCCCAGGCCAGCCTGGGTTCAAGTAGGGGGCAAGAGATGATGGAAAAGGACTAGGCTGACTCCCACCTGGATGTGTTTGTAACTGTTTAGTCTGCTTTGTGAGCATATGGAGGCCTCTCTGCCCACATCTGTGTAGTCGATTTGCATAGAAACTCCTCTAGTATTTGTGTGGGGTGAGCACAGCCTCCAGGCAGCAGATGCCCTTCCTAAGAATGGAAATTCAGAACAAGGATACAAACCCTGACCCTCAGGAGGCTGTGGGGTCATAGAGTTCATGAATGTGATAGGGAATATCTGGGGGCCTGCTCTTCACAGGGACACTCCATGATCCAGGGGCTAGGAGGCAGAGCAAGAGCAAGGGGTACACCTGGCTTTTGGGGACAGAGAGCCAGCATGGGTGATGCATAGGAGTAGGAGAGAGCAATTGGTGGGTGATCATGCAGGGGCTTGTGCCTACTGCTAAGCAGCTTGGATCTGAGTGTTAATGTTGGTGAAGAACCTTTAAGGTCTTCTTTTTGGTTTTTTTTGAGACAGGGTCTCCCTATAGCCCCAGCCTGGAACTTGGAACTTGCTATGTAGACCAGGCTGGCCTTGAACTCACAGAGATCCATCTGCCTCTGCTTCCCAAGTGCTGGGATTAAAGGCATGTGCTACCAGACCAGGCTGGCCTCAATCTCACAGATAGCCACCTACTTCTGCCTCCCGTAGAGCCCTTTAAGTTTTTTTTTTTTTTTCATTTTTGTTTTATGTGTATGAGTGTTATACATGCGTGTAGGTAAGTGCACCCATGTTGTGCAATGCCTGTGAGGACAGAAGAGGCTGTCGGATCCCCTGGAAATGGAGCTACAGACAGTTGTTAGCTGCCATGTGGGTGCTGGGATTTGAACCCAGGTCTTGCAAGAACAGTCAGTGTTCTTAACCGCTGAGCCATCTCTCCAGCCCAGAAGGCAGCACTCTTAATACCATGCATTCCTCTGCAGGGACCACAATCCTCCCAACACTCACCTTGTATTCAGCATGGCCACCTGCTTCCCCAGGGCTGAGTTACATCTAACACAGACATAGACATACATTTGACAGATCTGCCAGGCACAGTGATGCAGACAGTTTGGCAGAAACATATCCCAAACTTCACCCCACTTGCACGAAGATCCTCACAAATTAAGGCACAAACCCCTCAACATAAACGGTTGTGCAAGCTCAGCATACATCAATAGTCATGTAGGTGGTGGGGCATCATACATCAACACATTCCCAGCAAGCCACACACATGCCTTGGAGAGAAAAGGACAGAGCCCATGGTCACTTGCTGACATCATTGACCAGTGTTGAATTGTTGCCCAAACCAGGGTCTGGATTGCAGCCTAGTCTTTACCTCTTAGCATGATATAACCCAAATGGTCATATCCTTGCTCCTGCTGAATTTCCTGCCACCTCACTGGTCTCTTGTTGACGACTCTTCCAGGATATCCCTTAATGTCAGTGTCTAGGACCCAAGCTTTAGACAGACCCCTTGTCTCCCTATTCTCTTGCCCTGGCTGACCATCTACTCTCAGGATGCCTAACTCATCTGTTTCCTGTCTAGAACTAGTATTTGGGGGCTGGGACTCTATTTGCCGCTCCAACACCTCCGCCCAGTATCTAGTGCACACCATGAATCTGACATCTAAAAAGCATCTCTTGGGTCCCCCAAAACCTGCCACCACAGAGACTTTCCCTGGGGGTACAGGCCCAAGATCAAGGCTAAATTCCCCTTTTCCTTGTGGCCACCTCCACACAGGAACTCCTTTCAGAACACTACCTGCCTTCTCCCCCCCCACACACTGCTTTCCTGGATCTCTCTGCTCTATTCTTGCCCTATCATGGCCCATCCTACTCTGAGTCACGTCAGGGGTCTTTCCAAAGCTTGGAGTGGGGCATGACATTCCCTTACTTGAAGCTTAAAGTTCAGGGGAGCCGACAGTCTCTTCTGTCCTTCCGGGCATTGCACAACATGGGTGCACTTACCCAACATACAGGCAATACACGCATACACATAAAATAAAAATAATAAAATATTAAAAAAAAATATGCTACCTTCTTCAGCCAGCTCATCATCCTAGGCCAAGCAGGAGAAGCAGCAGCATGACTCTGAGGACTCTAAGAAGCAGAGTTGTTCTTAGAGCTCTGGGGATGGTCCCTGAAGCCTTGGATTGAGATGGCAGTCCACAGGATCCCCCTGCCCTCATGGCTACCTGCTTGCCTCTTCCAGCCTGCCAGGCTGTTCATAGATCTGCCCAGCCACCTGTTTCTGTCCTGTGGCTAGGTTCTCTCTCTGTGTCTGTCACCTGCCCATCTGGCTTACATTCTGCCTATCCACCTGCATATCTCTCTGCCCGTCTGACCGGGACTCTGCTGCTGCCTGATCACCTGACCTCTGGCTGGCCTGTCTCTGTCCTCCCATCTGCCAGAGAGACCAGGGATTTGTCACCCAGAGTATGCCTAGAAGAGGAAACAGGAAAGGCAGGTCTTGGCAGGAGGTCAGGAGGCTGAGAAGTTGAGCCTGGGAGGGGCTTGTGGGGGGACTGGCTTATACAGCAGGAATCTACTCCCTCCCCTGCAGCCCATGGGAGTGGCCCTGGCTGCTCTGCTGTGGCCTCCCCTGTCACAGGAGCAAGGTCTTGGATGGATGGGCTTGTCAGGTTTCTAGGTGTCCCCACATGCTCATCACCCAGCCCAGTGGCTAAAAAGTGGTTCCTGAAAAAAGTTTGCTGAGTGAGAGGTAATAGTAATGGATATGAAGTGTCCTGTGTCCCTTCACCATTTGTAGCATGATTCCTATTTGACAGGAGAGGAAAATGAGGCTCAGCTGCTATGCTACATGTGGGGTCATATAGGTCCAACTTAAGAGCTTGTGTTGGGAGAGTCCCATTGAGGAGTTCCTGGTCATGGTGAGACCCAAAGCTGTCTTTCCCCAGGCTTCTGGAAATGAAATATGGCCCATGCACCAACTGTCAAATCTAATTAAAAATGTACCATTTCTGTCCTATGAAATAAATAAAAAGTAGTGCTGGGCAAGTGACTGTGGGTGGAACTGATGCTGGAAGAGTGTGGTGGGGGTGACGTCATGCATGCCATGATTGGTAAAGCTCTCAATAATGGGCTTATGAGCCCTCACCTCTAGCTGAGGAACTATTGACAATTGATGGGGAAGGAGGAATCAGTTTTTGAGGTATAGTCCCTGGAGAGTTGACCATACTCTAGTCTATGGCCCCTCAGTTGTGTGTGATCAGCACAATTGGACTCAGTGGGTTATTAAGAAACAAACAAATGGGGGTAGGGAGGCTGGAGAGATGACTCAGCAGTTAAGACCACTGCACTTGCAGAGAACATTAGTTCCCAGCACCCAATAGCTAGTGGCTAACGACTGTCAATAACTCCACTTGCAGGGGATTCAACGTCCTTTTCTGGCCTCTGCAGGCATTGCATGCACAGATGCACATACATACATACATGCAGGCAAAACACTCATATACATAAAATAAATAAATAAATTTTTTAGACATGAAGTTTGAACTGGGATTTGAATATGATCAAAATGCATGTATGAAATTCTTTTTTTTCTTTTTTTTTTTGGTATTTTTGAGACAGGGTCTCCCTGTAGCCCCAGCTGGCCTGGAACTCGCTCTGTAGACCAGGCTGGCCTCGAACTCACAGAGATCCGCCTGCTTCTGCCTCCCAAGTGCTAGGACTAAAGGCATGAGCCACCACACCCAGCACATGTATGAAATAAGGGGCTGGAGAGATGGCTCAGCGGTTAAGAGCACTGACTGCTCTTGTAGAGGACCCGGGTTTAATTCCTAGCACCCACATGACAGCTGTGAACCGTCCTTAACTCCGGTTCCAGGGGAATCCGAAGCCCTCTTCTGACCTCTGCGGCATTGCACAAACGGGAGCACTCACATACATGCAAGCAATACACTCATACACATAAAATAAAAATAATAAATAAGCCGGGCGTGGTGGCACACGCCTGGAGTCCCAGCACTTGGGAGGCAGAGGCAGGCGGATCTCTGTGAGTTCAAGGCCAGCCTGGTCTACATAATGAGTTCCAGGCGA